TCTTTTTCGTGATCATTCATTGATACGAGCTTGGCTTCATGCAGTTGATCGTAATGGTGGTATTTATCGTTATCGATGGGGTGATGCACCGATTCATACATTAGCTCTAACTCAATTTCTTTCACAAAATCATATTGTGCGTCTTAGATATTTTGGATATATGCATCGGCATGAATATACTTGTGCTAGTAATATAGAAAGAGACTTATGTAAAGCACAAGTAAAATCGTTTTTAACACAGAATGGCATTCGATATTCCTATTATCAAGATGGATGTTTTCCATCCACTCAAAATCCATTATGTCATTATTATCCAGAAATTAAACTGTGATATGTGTGTCATTGTTACCTTTTCATAGGATAAAATTTTTTTTGATGAAGTACTTCAATGAATAGAATAAAATAAAAATTATTCGTTTGATTATTTAAACAAATATCAACATGAATAACTCGCTTATTGATTGAGTACAAAGCACAGAAAGAAAAATAGAGAACATATAATATTCTTTAAAAAAGATAAGGCCGCTTTCAACGATAAAACATGCATAGAATATGGTTAGATATCACGTGACGAGTTAATCAAGACTATGTGTTTTCATTTGTTTTTTTGAAGTGAAATTTTAGGGGAAAAATTTCATTTTTTTCCTATGACTTTTTTTCTGAAAAAAAGGTCAATTTTCGATTATTGTCAAATATTCAAGTTTTTACAGTTTCTTTAAAAGATCTTGTCAGATTTTTCGACTTATCTTGAGTCAGGATACTATACGTGTGATTTTGTCGAGCGATTTCTGGTGCATCGAACGGTATATAAGAAATGAGATTGTATGAAAATTTTATTGTGCTGAGTGTTGATATACTGATTTTAGTCCTTGGAACACATATATGCTAGTCATAGACATGGCGGTTTAGCAGCAACTTACGCCAAGTTTGTTTTTAAACTCAATTCGATACCGTTATAGGCGATATTCAATTTCCTATTACCAATAGTTTTCATTCTTACTTTCTTCATACGTAAAAAAGGTCCTTTTCGTTAAGGTCTACGCTATTTCTCGTCTATATGATATTTCAGTATGTTCAACTCTTGTTACAGAACTAGTATCAATGTGAAACTTTCTTTGAAAGACGATATTTTAACAATGTTCAACGATTTAATTTAAAAAAAAGAACTATTGGACAAAAACCAGCACAACATCCTAGATGGACTGATATAAACAACTTCTTTATGCATGGAAAAAGAAACTTATTCACCTACAGATTCCTCGAAGCTATTCGAGAATATGGGAAAATTTATTTTCAAAAAGAACATAGGAGATTCATAGATGCTTCTCGAATTCCAAGCATAAATGAAATGTGCATACTCGGAGCAATCATTTAACAAAAAGGGATAATAAAAACAATAGATTTCCTTTCTAAAATCATATATTCATACTCTGAACCAGGGGTTTGAAGGTCTAAACATTTTTTCTTCGTTTATAAAAGAGTTATTTATATTAATTCACCAGACACGCTCCGCATATTATTGATGTATAAAACTTTTTAATATGGCCCTTTAGTATTGTTAAAATATTGGTAATAGACCGGCTCCTTCATATAGAAAGACAGGTTATTCTAAGAAACAATCTTATCAGTTAACAATGAGTCTCTGCTATGCCGATAAATGTTATATGTGAAATATATAGAGCTCCATTATATGAGATTTTTAGGAAAGTTTCACGTTAGTACTCACTTGTTCTGTGGAACAAAATGGAATACACTGGAATATTGCATAGTTAATAAATAATGCAGATTTGAGAAAAAGGACCATTTTTAAGTATGAAGAATTGCTTAACTTAATCATAGAACATAATACATATGAGTACCATATTTTTTCTCAAGGACTGTAACCAGTATATAGCAGATCTATCCGGAAATCGAAAAATTTTTTGATAACCCAACCTGACCTGAGTCGGACACGGTAGTACAATACAATAAGTGCTGCTTAATATATGTATATCAAATGGCAATTACTTCAAAGTATCAATGAATTATTTCCTCTATTGTATTCTTATGCAATTTTCATACAAAAGGACATTTGAATGATCAATAGTGATTCTGCCTTGAAAACTTACGAAAAATTCGAGTTAAAATAGAAAGTTTTTAATTGATATTGTTATAAGATTATATTATTCGAAAAAAACACTCCAGTGTATTTCGTTCCATGGAGATCTTATCTCGAAAATGACAAGCTGTCAAATGCATGTTTTTTTTTACATTATCATATGTTATATATGCTTCATGGATGAATGAGCATTTAATATATTCAATATTCATGCAATCGTGTAATAAATTATTCATTCAATTTGTTTGCTTATTTTATTCTAAAAAGGGTGAAAGTGAATCAAAAGTCAATCGTCATACATCAAGACTGTTAAATATTTTTGTGCAACGAATTTTGTTAAGATCTGTCGTTTATTTTTTTTTAAAGATTCTACAAAAATAACAACACAACAATAGTGTGAATGAATGATTGATTTTTCAATCTGCTCTATGACTCTATTAGTCATTAGTAGAGAATACATTAAAATAAGTGCATATGCACGATATAACAAGTCAAAACTATGCCAATTTTTATATATCTTTTCATGTCTTATCATTGGATATACCTTGTTTAACACTAAATTTATTTTTAAACATAGAAAATCATCGATATGTTCGCCTAGAAATCCTGATGATGAAATTATTCATCCCCAAGATGAATGGCAATATCAAAACAGTATCACTGGTCAATGGTATCATTGGACAACAACATATAATAAACAAAATAAATATGTCGAATGGCGTGTCAAGTGGTTAAATGTTGCTCCAACATCATATCTTGGTGTTATTGTCTATTTAACTACAACTAATGAACTCAATCCACTTAAGACATCACTTACTCAATTATCTCGTTTATTATCAAATAATCCTCGACCTGTTGTCATTTTTCATGAAGGTGATTTTGATGCTGATGATATTCAAAAATCTTTATCTAACATATTGGGTAATCATACTCCATTAGGTTTTGAACGCATCCGATTTTCTAATCATTTGATTCAACCACGACCTGTAGGTAATCATCGATGGCCACTTAAATATACTGACATGTGCCGTTTTTTTACTTTGATGCTTGTAAATCATCCATTATTAACATTATTCACATACTATTGGCGACTTGATGCGCATTCTTACATATTTGGACCGAAACCTATTGAAGATCCATTCGAAATGATGCAAAAACGACAAATTCAATATGCTTTTATTATGGCTAGTGAAGAAGCCGATTATTATGCTGTTGGATTATGGTCATTTTTTCATGAATTTCTCGATAATCGTTGTTTGAAACCTTCAATAGCTCTTCGTCAAACACAAACTGATTTATTTGGTAACTATTCACTCTACATTATTTTTACCAATTTCGCTATTGCTAATGTATCTCTTTTTCGTGATCATTCATTGATACGAGCTTGGCTACATGCAGTTGATCGTAATGGTGGTATTTATCGTTATCGATGGGGTGATGCACCGATTCATACATTAATTCTAACTCAATTCCTTTCACAGAATCATATTGTACGTCTTAGATATTTTGGATATATGCATCAGCGTGAATATATCTGTGCTGATGGTATAAAAGGTGAAGTATGTAAAGCACAAGTAAAACCGTTTTTAGCACAGAATGGCATTGAATATCTCTATTATCAGGATGGATGTCATCCATCCCCTCGAAATCCACTGTGTCATTATTATCCAGAAATTAAACTATAATATGTATGTCATTGTTACGTTTTATAGGATAAAATTTTTTTAAAGAAAATATTTCAATGAATGGAATGAAATAAAAATTATTTGTTCAATTGCTTCAACAAATATCAACATGTTTTGTTCGATTATTAATTTAGTGCGAAATACATGAAGAGAAATAGAAAACATGTGACCTTGTTTATAACATAATGCCGCTTTCAAGGACAAAACATGCATAGACTGCATAATTTTATTTATCGTACTCTTAGTAAGAAAAGTAAGGTGAAAAGAAAAAAAAAAGTGAAGAAAAAGAAGACTCCCTCTTGATCCTTTACCTCCTCTTCAATGCAAACATGTGAGTATATCACAATTATAAATATACAAACTATTTTTTTTTACAGCTAAACATACAATGTTGAAGGAGAGAAAGGAAAAAGAACAGAATGAGAAAAAAAATCTCAGCGAGTTTTGGAATGAACGTGTGAGTGTATATATATGTCGTTATACAGAAATCAATAATAATGACGCAAGTCTAAAAGATAGCATTGGACTTATTGTTGTACTTGCTGATGGTAAGAATCACTGCTCTGATTTTTGTTTCTCTATCAGTTATGTTATTTTACACATCTATAAATGGGACCTTAGCGAGACAAACATGTTATGTATAGCTAAAAAAAGAAAAACGAGAGACACATAATAAAAAAACCGATTCGAATGTCACTTGCTAATGGCTTGTAAGCAGTATGAATTGATTCTTTCAATAACATTCAAAAAAACAAAATAAAATAGCAACAAACGTCGAATCGACTTCTTTTCTTTTCGGTCCTGTTTTCGACTTTTTCTGCCGTCTTTTTTTTTGAGTGATGAAACGCAAAATGATTTGACTACAACAATAATACTATGTACAATGTTTTTTTGTTTCTTGCTTGTATATACGGGAAACCAATTAATCATAAGTATCAAACGACAAAGAAAAAAAAACTATTGATGGAAATCCGAGAAAAACATTTCAAAAAGAAAAAATTAACACTCAAATACTTGAGTATATAATTCCATTTTTTTGATTATCTAGATGTGTTGAATCTAAACGGATTTATAATATCATTAACGACAAACATCAGCAGCTGTTCAGAGAAGTGCAAAAGTATTGTGTAAGCTTTTCATTGGCATTTTTTTAAATTTTTATCTTCTTAAAAAATTCGATTGTTTGTTTTTCAAAGACTCATTAGGGAAATGTTCATATGACATCAAATACTGTTCCTATTTATCGACAAGGACGTAAATTTTACGTCTCCGCTGAAGAATATGAACGTATAAGTTCCGAAGAACGACTAATTCGTCGTACAGCTATACTAAAATCTCAACAGTTACCTGTATCAAAATCTCATCAAACACATATACGAACACCTTCAACATGTTCATATAATCCTATTGCACGAAACAATTCAAATTCATATGATTATAAATATGGTGTTGTTAAAACACGTCATGTACCTGTCAAGTCATTAATAAATACAAATAATCAACGTGAATCAAATAGATTATCTCGTTCAATATTAAAACATTATGATGATCAAAATGATTTATCATCTATTACATCAACTATTTCGAAAAGAAAACCAAAGACTAATGTTCGTTCACATTCATCTGATAAAGTACTTGATACTCGAAAGACTCCATTATCATCTAATACGTATAATCAAATCAAACGTTCATTGTCAGCTGAAAACATGCAAGCACAAACATTAGTTCTACGACAAAAACTCAAACAACAATCACATAGTCCATTACGTCGACCAATTCTAAGAACAGTTTCTGATTATGGAATGTCTCCAAGAACAACATTTTCCATAACGCCAAGTGATCAAACATATACTCAGACAAATACTTCAAAATTAACAAGTTATTTAGCACGAATAAAACAATCAAGTTTGAATTCTCCATCAAACTCATCACTATTAGCTAATTCAGGAACGGGTACATTATTTGAAACAAGTATGCAAGGTTTCGATAATGTTTATACTGTACTTGGTTCATCAAATCAACGTTCTAGTACTGTTTCATCATCTTTAACAACTCCATCAATAACAAATAATAGTAAAAATGAATATTATCATCGAGACACAACAAGTGGTTCGTTTTCTGATGATAATTCATCTACATTATCAACGTTATTTCAACAACGAAATACAGATAAAAATAATAATCGACGATCGGAATATGTTGATGAAACTGGTGATAATCATAGTCAACAACTTGAGTCATGGACACGTTCAACAGTATGTAGTCAATCAAGTGATGGTATAACAGAAAAAAAACGTGTTCGTTTTGCTGATACGGAAGGTTTTACATTAGAAATAATACCTGATAAAAATCAATTACGATCAATGAAAAATGATCGATTATTAACCAAACGACAACATATGAAAATTTTGAATAATTCTCATGACCAAAACAAACCTTTTTATAATGCATTTTATCAAGTAACGACTAAAGTTGGTCAAAGTAAACTTGCGACGGATGTATAATTTTTTTTAATGTATGTCTGCAAATAGTTTTTAATAATCAGAATGACGAAAAACTTGTTATTGAAAAGAATATATTTGATAATAATACAAGTGTCTTATTTTCGACTTTATAAAAAATAAATATTAGAAAATGAATTGAGAGTAATAATTTCAATTCAAAATCTAGTAGAAATTATATTTTTATATTCATCAGTGTTGTTTGTGTGATCTGATATTGTAGAAATTGACTTATTTGATTCATATATTCTTGATTTATCAGTATTAAATTGTGTCGAAATGGCATTCGTTTGTTGTCGTTGTGTTCCTATTGATGATTCTGACCTGGGACGCAAACCTATATAGGATTTATATAATGAAGATAATGATGCTTGTGATGTTGGAATTGTAAGATGATGAACCATCGATACTTGAATGGAATTGTTCAAAGGCGTTGTATCAATAACTATGGAAAAATAGTTTGTCAAAATTTATATACTTTTGTATTATTGAATGTTTTCTTAGTAATTCATTTTTAAAGCCATTCCTCAAAAAACATGAAAATTAAGATAAATACATGAGAAGATAGCCTAAGTTCTGTTCTTTCAGAAAGAACATAATTTTTTTTATTGGCATCCCGTATTTTTGGCAAATTTTTGATAATCTTCGTCATTTCCTGCTTAAACAAGTAGGGTTTTTTTAAAAGAAAAAAATGATAAATATCATCATGGGTCATAAAAAAATAAAACTTATTCAATGACGATGAAAAAATGAAAGAAAGAATAGAATACATATCATAGACAAACCACATTTGTTATATTATTTTAATCGCTTCTGTCATTGTCTCTGATGACTATGTACCAATCACAATTAATGTTTAAGTTTTTCATAATAATACCAAATGCTTGTGATAAATATAATTTTTATTAAAACCAGGATCACGGCAACTTACAGTTGATCCAGTAGAACAGTTTCAAGCATGTCTACTGAAATGCCATGTTTGTTGACACTATCACCAATAGCGCTTACGACTTTCGATTTCATTTATAAGCGATGACAGAACATGTTTTCTACTCAAATTCAAATTATTTGTTAGAATGAATTTAAATTAATCGTGAACAAAGACAGTTTCAGGCTATATTTTACTAATAAGAATTTTTTTAATGCCATCTATAATAAAAACTTATCTCGTAACTGTGGCCCATGTGAGCTCTGTGACTAGTTCATGCACAGCTCATACGCATTAACATTACTATAGTGCACCGAAAACGACTCAATTGTCTCGGTTTTAACAGATTCACCCTATTTCATCAATACGATGTATGAAAAAAATAAAAAAATCGCCAGTATAGCGCATATTGTTCTGCTTCGTATACCAGCGATAGTGGCCCGATGATTATTATATAGGCTATGATCGTGTCGTGGAAAACAAAACTAATTATTCTATGAAGTTCAACCAGGTACGAATGGAATTTATTTATATACAATTCAAAAATACAATGGGTACCAAAACAAAGCAACATGATTTTTTTTCCAATGCCATTAGCGTTATAAAGAATTCAAATAATGATTCGAATAGAGAGAATGATTTTCAACAGAACCATAAGGGAATAAAACTTATTTTCAGACTTTCACAAAGAAAAAGAGTCCAGAAAATCAAAATCTCGATTTTTCAAAGCTTAGAGCGCGTATACATAAATTTTAGACTACATAGAATGATAGAGTTCACAATTCTCTACTGAATAAGATGTTTCCATATTCTCTCTGAAATTTTTTAGCTGAGGTATAGCAATTTGATTGAAGGTCAAACATTGGTTTTTTTTCTATAGGAAATGAAAAAAGACTTTAGAGACTTCCGTAAGATTGCTGTATCTCAGCTATCAGGTATTGCAGAAAACTTGAAGACGTCTCATATTATATAGATTGATTAACTCTATCGTTCTATCAAGTCTAAACAAAATAATATCTACACAGTCTAGATGTTGAAAAATCAGGGTTTCGTTTTTCTAGAGTTCTTTTATTTGGGAAAATCTAACTGTAATTTATATCTTCTCATATCCTTGTAGAAAACCATTTACTCGAGTCGAATCACTATTTGAATTTATTCTAACGCTAACGGAAGAAAAAAAACTGAACATAAATCATGTTCAATAATTTCCATGCTCACTATATTTATGTCGGTTACTGATTATTCTCATTAAATTTACCAAAAAAGTGTCTAAAAAAACAAGATGATCAGTGCAACTCTTGAACAGCAAGTTTTACTTGAAGGAGCTATACTACTCATTCATATTTGATATTAGACAAAAAGTTAAGATTATAGCTACGAGTAAGAGTTAACCATGGCAGTTCGATTTTTTCAATCAAGGGTGTTGTTTTTAGTTACTAAAAACCAATAGGATGTCGCTTCAATGTTTACTTGTATTTATCCACAAATTGTTGAACATAGGTGTGTAAGGGGTTCCGGAATTTTGCCAATAAGACTTTTGCCAATAGGACTTTCGCTATTGGTGAAAGTCCACTGTACTTTCGCCAATGCACCCCGTGGAATTTCGCCAATTGGCGAAAGTTCACGGTACTTTCGCCAATACGTTCGGTGAAGTTTCGCCAATATATCTCTGGACTGTTGCCAATTGGCGAAAGTACAGTGAACTTTCAGCAATTTCATTGTAAATTAGGCGTACACTAAACAATTTTTTTCACCTACATCGATGAGTGTAAACTATGATATATGTGGTTGGCCTGTCTGGCCGGATGTCTCAATCCCGTTTTTAATCAATCCATCTCTATAATATGTCAGAAATATCTGATTTTTTTGCTAGTAATAGTACTCATATAATGCTGATGAACCGCCAAAGAGAAACAATTTATCTCTTGTTTGAAACGAAATCGATGAAGCATCCTTCAAAGCCTTTTGATATTTACCAACAGATAATTCTAAAGACACTTAATGATTGTGATTTGAACCAAGACATAAACTTCCTAGGCTTGGCAGATCATTAGCATTATGCAAGTACTATTACTATTATAAAAATTAGATTTTTCTGATATATTATAGAAACTGAATGACGGAAAAAGGCATAGGGACATCCGGCCAGACTGGCCAACCGCATATATATTCTAATAACATTAACTTCAGCGCTGACATATATCCTTTATTAATATTGTTCCGTGACCACTGAGATAGTCCACCTCACTTTCGCCAATTGGCGAAAGTCCACTGTACCTCTCCCCAATACATTCCCTGGAACTTAGCCAATTGGCGAAAGTCTACTGTACTTTCGCCAATATACCCTCAGGATTTTCGCCATTGGCAAATGTCTTATTGGCGAACATCCCGCCACCCGTGTGTAAAAGTGATTTATATCATCAGATTTATATATATCATGCCGAATTTATTCTTCATTAACAAAAACGTTAACTATTAACAACTGAATGTTCTTTGCAAGAGACACTATGATAACTGCTATTAAAAAAATAGCAAAATTGTTTACGCAAAAAATTAATATTTTCCTAGTTTCTGTTCGTCTGGTAGATCATACAGCAAAAAAGACATTGCTCAGAACTGATCTTTAGAATATACAGTAGATCATTTAAAATTCGTAAATTTTTAAATACCAATTTTTATTATGAAAAGTTTGTCTACGCATGCATACAGTATAAATTTTTGTTTTTTTTCGAACGGCATCTCTAAGAACAACATCAGGCTATCTCATGAAACCATTGAATAAATTTTTAATCGACTTGCCATTGAATTATGATATCATAAAGAAAGGGTCCCTTGCAGGAAACATTTACTGTCAATGGTCTGAACTATCCTGACAACATCTGCATAATTTGAGTAAGCATTATAGTGAAATGGAAAGTGCTTAAACATTGAACAAGTGCAAAATATTGTTTCGTTCTTTGTGTCAAAAAAAAAATAAGCAAATAAAATTATTCCTAAAATAAAACTCTTTTTACATAAATAAGAAAAATAGATAAATCATGCCATGAAGATCAAATGTCTCTTCCGAAGACCACTCTGTATTCCTAAAAGAAAACAAATTCGATTTTTTTGAATTATAGTATTAGCATGCTGACGGTCAAAAATCAGTATTTTTGTGATGAAATTTCTCTCAATATAAAAGATTCCTCTCGACTTTTAATGATTAATACTCGTACAAAAAAAGAATTGTGTCCACACAAAATGAATTCCATTTGCCTCAAAGTGTGTGATCTATAACACATTTTTGTTTACTGACATTTTCATTGGTGTCAGAAAAATTAAAGTTTTAGTTCATAATAATACTCCAAATATTTTTAAAGGATGGATTGGTTTATTTGTAACGAAGTTAGAAATTCATTGCTATTATCTAAATCTTAGAAGGGTGTGGGTGTTTCTAATAAAACTTACAATTTCATTTTCGAACCATCTATCAACATGAAATTTTTTTTCTAAATTATTTATTATTTGACTCAAAGTGTAGATATGAGCAGGACCCGTTGCAGGAATGACATGCAATCTGATCGTCGCACCTTAATATACGTCGTCACCTTCTATAAATCAATAAAAATCGAAATAGTTTAGAAAAGATGCAACATCAAGTTCATGATCGGCAATGAAAAGATAAACAATACAGTAAGTGGTGCTCATATTTAAAATACTATTTCAATTTTTGCTTCCGGAGAACTACCACACCTATAACTTCCTGTTTGAGCTCATATTGGACTCACCAGGAAGTGTTACTAAGAGTAAAGAAAATTGAACAGTGCTCTTATCAATGAGCCTTCGGATCTGAGTTATGATCGTGTCATCGCATTTTCGAGCCATTTTGAGTTATTTACTAAAAAGAATCTCATAACAGAATTTCGATCTGCTATTTTGCCTATAGATAAATCTAATGGCTCTTAAACGATATAGAAAATTTCACGCAAAGGAATATTTCTTTCTCAAGATAATGAAATTCTAAAAATAGTCTTTCATCACAGATATATCGCAAAAAATTCGAGCTCACTTGAAAATTCAATTCCTTGATCAAGGAACGTTCTTTTCGACTGAAACTTTCAGTATATTCTAAAAGTCATTATTTCTATTTATGAGTGAAGCTTCAGATTAAAATTCCGTTATTTGGTTGTCTAGTAAATAGCTAAAACTGGTCCGAAAAATCAGTGAAATGACTATAACTTAGCTCTATAGACATGAACAATAACTCTTTAGCATTGTCTTTAGTCTTATTAAGACCTCTTGTGGACTCAATATAATCTCAAACAGCAGGTTAAATTTGAATTTCTTCTCTCGCTATTATATGTCGCGATGAGCTTATTTTGAATTCAGTAGTGCAATTGGTAAGCATCGTCTTTGACAAGTATCGTACAATATTCTATTTCATTTCTTCACTATAGGTTGAAAAACTTTATAATCGTCATCACTATATACATAAGACTTATCATATATCAAACTCCTGATAATTGTTCGCATAGAGAGCGCACTAGCTAAGCAATATAGAACATTTGTTCCCTCTCATATCTTCTTGTGCTGATATCTAACCGGAAAACACTGATATACAGTGTTCGAAATTTGTTTTATTCTATCTTTAGGACTACAATTTCGTCACATATATGTGCTACCTATCTTTAACAAAGAAGCTGAAAATCGATTTATTAATTTCATATGTTTGAAAAGCTCAGTGGTAATTTTTTTGTGAAATCTGATTAAAAGGGAGTGTCGAAATATAGAGATAAAAATTTAGACTTGCCCACAGACTGTAACAGATACCTTAGCAACAATCTTCTTTTCTCCTCGTTACAGATCGGGAGAGACGTTGATATACGATCATCGATGGTTTATCAATAAAGTCTCGTTATATAATATATGAATTACTTTCTTATTGCACTTTTTGAAAAATAAATAAACGGGTAATGAAGAAATGTGTCTTACAAGAGTTTGAATAAAACAATTTTTCTGTTATTAATAACAACAGCTGCATCGCGCTTCACATTTTAATTCCACAGAGATTATGCTAATAGTTCTTTTTGTATCTACGACAGATAAATGAAGCCTATCAATGTTCTCTGTTGTATTGTCTTTTACGATTTTATGATTAGTCTCTACTTTATTAGCTAAATGTCTCAAATAAGTAAAGTTTTTTATTACTTTAAAAACAATCAGAAATTCTATTACAAGAAAAATGTAATATATGTAAGAGTAGAGTATTGCGGATAAAAGTGAAACAACTATATCAGGTGAAATTGTTGACACAACATCAGTGTCATCATCTTGAGATTATAGCTGTAGGTGTTGACCTTCTCTACATCCACCCATCCACACTGACTTATTGAACATGATTTTAAAATTGATCCAGATACTATTGTAAATTACTTTGTATCGAATAGAAAAATAGGACTTGAACTAAAATATTTTTTTATGATAAACTGTTTAAAAAATTTTATAGCTTCTCCTAGAATGTTTAGTTTGCGCCGCCTATGATCATTAGTCAATACAACCATCGGAGAAGGTTTGAATCCTGTGTAAATTATGAATCGTAAGAAGTTATTAATGAATGGTGAATTTCAGTCAAAATCGAGAAGAAATCGTCTATTTCAACAACTTCATCCTTATATCATTTCAGAATTTTTTGGACTTATAAATCACAATAAAATCATCGATTTTTTCGGTGATTTTTGCTATATGAATTACTATGAACAATCGTAAATAAACTTAATACTACCCAAGAATTTTGTGTTGTAGAATACAACAACGTCATTCTCTCTTGACAATGCTTTTATCTTTGATTAACAAAACGACATGATTTTTCTATCAACATAAAGAATCATAAACGTTTATCAAACACAAGAAAGAAAAAAAGATTCATGTTAAAGATTAAATAATGTATTTACTCATTCTTTTTTCATATTCACTTCTTTTTCTTAAATATTTCTATCAATCTTCAGATATGATGATTTTATATCATGGTTTTTTTTTTTTGATAAAAGATGTGATGACTTGAGATTGACAATGGGCGTTCATTCAATAGATGCATATTTTGATAGAATTATTAATAATAAAAATATTTAAACTATTCAAAAAGAAAATTTTCACAAGTTTTAGAAAAAATCTTCGTCGGCATCAATAGGTTTAGGTTGTGGTAGTTGCTTTCGTTTTCGTTGTTGATTTGCATTAGATCGATCAGATGGTGGTTCTCGTTGCCTCAGTTTTTCTACAGGTTGCTTATTTAACACGTTTGTTTGTGATGGTTGACTCGAACCAGTTGTTGCTTTATAATGTGATGCAGTTTGATTATTATTCAGTTTTTTCTTTGTTGAATTACCAGGAATATCTCGTTGTTGATTATTTGATGAAACTGTTGAGGGTGTATTATCTATAAAAAAAAGCACGATACGCTAGAAGAAAAGATATATGCTTTGGTCATACTAGTTGCTTTTGGAAGTTTCTAAAAAAAAAAAGAAATACTATAGATAATAATAACTAATGAAAGAAACTTCTCCTATACCACCATTTCACGTTTTGGAACATCGCCTTGGACTACCATGTTATGCTTTTTTCTTGAAGAAGATTTCCGATGGAAGAACACGTACGCACCAGCACCCTGGTGTATTTAAAGATATTTCGATTTTGAATTGTTTTTCTTAGAAAAAACTGGCTACTTACAATAACGCCAATAAATGACAGAATACTTAAGATGAATGCGGTGATTACGACACCACCATTCTCACTTGGTCTGATACATATATTAGCAAATGGAAATTGACCGGGATAGCAATTATTAGTGTTTGGTGTAGCCATAGTAGAAGACGTGGTAGTAAAAGGAGACGCGGTGATTGTTGTTGAAGACTTAGGTACTGTTGTAGAAGGCTCGTCAATATAAATAGAAGACCCGTTAGTATCAGTAGTAGACTCGTCAGTAAAAGGAGGCTGTTCGATAAAAGAAGGCTGTTCAAAAAAAGAAGGCTGTTCAATAAAAGAAGGCTTGACAGTAGCACGAGACATGATAGTTGCTGTAGAAGTCGTGCTAATTGTTGTAGAAGTCGTGCTAGCTGTTGTAGAAGTCGTGCTAGCTGTTGTAGAAGTCGTGCTAACTGTTGTAGAAGCCGTGCTAGCTGTTGTAGAAGTCGTGCTAGCTGTTGTAGAAGTCGTGCTAACTGTTGTAGAAGCCGTGCTAGCTGTTGTAGAAGCCGTGCTAGCTGTTGTAGAAGCCGTGCTAGCTGTTGTAGAAGTCGTGCTAACTGTTGTAGAAGCCGTGCTAGCTGTTGTAGAAGTCGTGCTAGCTGTTGCAGAAGCCGTGCTAGCTGCTGTAGAAGACGTGCTGGCTACTGTAGAAGACGTACTAGGTGCTGTAGAAGTCTCAATAGTATAGACAATAGGCTCATCAGCAGAAGAAGGCGTGGTAGTAACTGTAAGAGTCGCAATAGTATTAGTATTAGACTCATTAGTAGAAGGAGGCGTGATAGTTGTAGGAGACGCAGTAGTTGTTATAGAAATTTCGATAGTAGAGAAAAGCTTGGTAGTGCCATCAGCAGACTCATTAGTATCAGGAGAAAAACCGATTGATGTGCTTTGGGAATACACTTCAATTGTGCAAAGCAAGAAAATAACGACGACAATCACACGACTTGAGCCGATGTAAAAACTCTGACTGAGAAGCTATCAAAGAAAAGAATTTCTTTTTTAATTTAGAAGGAAACATTTTCAACTGTCCAATCACTTTTAACTTCGAATTCTCTGTGAGTAAGATAGACTACACTAAGATATTGAAAAACTACTAAAAGATAAATTCTCTTAAACCTTCTGTTTAGGATCTGTAGATATCTTACTGGAACTTCAGCATCGGGTATGGTAAATATCAACAAACCGAATGATGATATTTCGCCCGCAAATAAGTCTATTTGTCAGCATTATGTTCTGAAATTTCAACTCAACAGATTATTCTCTTCCCGAGATACTAAAGTCCCATGGAACAGACAGTCCTACTATTTTTCGTGTAGTATAAGTGATTTTTGAGACTTTAATGTCTTGGAGAAGGAGATGCTCTTTTGAGTTAAAATTTTCAGAACATTCTAATGAGAAACAGACTTGTTTGCGGACGAAATATCCTCATTCAAATTGTTGGTATTTATCATACCAGATGCTAAAGTTCCAGTAAAGTGTCTACAGATCCTGAACAGAAGATTGAAGAGGATTTTTCCTTTGTAGATTTTTCATATCTCACTGTTGTGTATTTTATACACAGAGTTCAAATTCAAAAACGATCGGTCCATTGAAAACGTTTCCTCGTTACACTGAACTAGTTGCCATTCTAAATTAATGTACTTACCATTTCTTCCCTTTTAAATAAAGAGATTTATTAATTTCTAGTTATGAATAGTTGTCGGCTTGCAAAAAAGAGCAGACAAAGATATTGAAAATCAAAACAATGAAATAAATACAAAGATGTTTGATAGCAGTAGGACTCACATAAAAAAAGAATGTAATGTTTGCACACACTTATGAAAAAAGATAAAAAAAAAAGAAAAAATGCGTGGGAGAGCGAAATAAGAATGTATAAAAAGATAGAACGGAAGTATTATTTGTCTCTTCGAAGTAGTAGACATATGTAATACTAATGTTACTATAAGAATATGAATATTAACTTTTGAATGTCATTGCAAGGATGTAGGATGTTAAAACATTTTGGATTTGTCACAAACTTCTCAAAATAATAAATAATCAATATCATTCAATATAGTATGAAGGAGAAAAAGATATCATGACAATAATCACTCAAATCTTGCACATCACGAGTGAGTCATAGAGAAAAAAAAAGTCATTATGGATCAACATTTGTTTTTTACACAATATAGTAGATGTTTCGCTTTACGTTATTAGTTCGTATTATAAATATGCAAAATAATCAAAATTTATTTTTATGAGGCATTTTTATCAATAACATTATTCATTATCTTAACTAATTTCAATTTATTTCTGATGCATTCCTAGAACCATTTAATATGGCATACGTTCACTGTTTGACAAGCTATAATTAATAATTTATATCGTAATTTTTTAGTTTCAATCAATATGTCGTACTAATAATTTGTCAAAACAATGATGAATAAAACATATTTCTTTTGATTTCTTCTTTTTTTTTTCTTTTGCTTTCTCCTTCCTATTTTCTCTTTCGACTTTTTTTTTGTTGTGCTTCATTGCACATGTACATCATTTACTTATATGCACACCTTTCAATATAAAGTGGGATCTATAGAAAGTCAACCAATAACTCAAGGCAATGCATCATCGTCGAAGTCAGAGTGATTCAAAATCAACAAGTAGCATTAATGGTGTATTATCATCAATGCCGACAACAAATAATTCTTCTTCTACATCAACAACAGGTCGTGTTAGTATATATTCAATGCGTGAACGAGTTATACTAAATAAAATGACAAATATTATGGGAAAATTAGCACCGGATACTGAAACTGAAGTAACTAGTCGCTTTCATCAAGAAATACCAGCTATTAGACTTGATGGTCATCTTACTTATTGTTTATATACTGCTTTACAAAATTTAATTCATTTAAATGCTATTTATGTTCTATTATGTCATGCAGTTTTTTGGCTCAGTTCGAATAACCCACATAAAGAAACAACTTTTTCCTTGGAAATACTTGAACAAACAAATAATGAACAGACTCATTTTATTACTGTTTCAAATAATTATCATTCAATTGAAAGAAAGACTATTAATACAGATTTGATAAATATATATCTATATATGGGTTTGATGAGCATTGGTTTATTTGAATTAATAATTACATTTATATGGACACTAAGAAAAAAACTGCCATCTTTAATACAACGTAATCAAAAATTAAGAAATCGTATAAGTAAATTTTTGATTGTAATGATAGTTCTAATTTATATCGTATTTATATCTTGGCTTTTATTTCATACATTTATTACGCACCAATTAAATTTAATATTTTTCATTCCAGTTTTTGGTCACATAATTATTTTAACATTTCTTGATAAACCTAATTTATTTCAACAATCACCTGATAATCTTTCAAAACAATCAGTAACAACACGAAAACAACATCGTCATTCAACATCGTCATCATCAACATCTTCAATAGCAACAACTTTATTAGGTCGATCTTCTCATCGATCATCAACTTCTGCACTACCTCGAAAAATTACTACTGTTGTTAGTTCATCAACATTACCATCAGATTTAGTTTTATGGTCTCGATGGTCATCCGTAGCAGAAGAAAAAATTGAAATACATGAATGTTCAACATTTTATGCACAAGCTAGAAGAGAAGCCGATGATTTATGGCCAACTGTTGTTCGAAGAATAATTTTAATTTTTTATCGAACGTTTGCTTCATTTATTCTATTTGATTTTGTTCCAATTAAAATGGCAGGTAAATTAAACTTAAAGAGTTTTATTTTTATTTTCAGATTTTGGATATGAAATTTAAATTTAGGTTTTAAATTCTATATTAGTCAATTATTTCGTAAAACCTTTAAAATCATTACAATCTTAATTGAAATTTGAAATATTTCTAATTTAATTATATATATATATAAAGAGTTTATTTCTTTAAATGAAAAATAATTCGAGCAGATCTATTCAAAATTTAGACTTCAATATAAGCCTAATCATAGCATTATCGTTTAATCCTATACTGAGTTATTCTGTAACAATATTATAAAAATTGACCTCTTATATTGGATTCAATCATGAAAAACTGATCTGTAAGATGGACTATGTATATAGCCTAGGAAAAATTTAATTTAGACAAAATTCGTTGTTCATTAGACGCAAAAATAGAAAATAATTTTTGTTTGCATTAAGAAAGCAAGGTATGTACAGAGTATTCATTTTTGCTTATTTTAATGTATTCATCAATGAATTCTTATGTATCGACATGAAAAAATTGATTTTCGAAAGTATCTTGATAAATGAGCGAAGTAACATTTAGACTTTGTAGAGTATGAAATTCCATGAAAAGACAGCTACTATTCTATGAAAGAGAATACATAATCTAAAAAAAAAATACTTCATTTTATTTTTTGGTTGAACCATAACTTAATACCAGAATATATTGATACTCTAAAATATCATCTATGAATTAAATGGAATTCGAAAGCAAATAAACATTGATTTAAAATACTACTGAAAAAGCATAAGTTTTAAGATTTTTTTCTTTTGGTTGTAGCCTCCTAAGACAAATTGGATTTCAATTAAATACATTTGTGAATTGTAAAATTTCCTAGATTTAACTCGATTTCAGTTAAATTTGAAAATTTCATTCATTCAAATAAAAACTAAAACTGACGGTTAAGTTATGTAAAACAAACATTTGATTACTTACAACGACAATATAGAATCATTATATACTGCATGTAATTTAATCAAAAGAAGTTTTATAAAGAAATATTCTTTTATTAGTGAACAGAACATGACTAAAAATTCTTTTGTTTAAGTTGAATAGTTAATTCAAAATCTAATACGTAATTCCATAATTAAATTTTTAAAAGAGTTTTATAGAAGAAGTGTCGTTTTCATGCAATCAGACTGTTAAAAAAATTTTAAATAAACGCTATTATTTACTTTAGATACTCATGTACGTTCGGTGGATAGTCAACCATTAAAAATGTTAATTTTCATATTTGCATTAAGTACACTTGTAACTCATAGTGCCTTTTTATTTCCGGTTAAACTTCAAACAACTCTTCATCGTATAGCAACACATCTTGGTCAATGGCGTCAACAATCAAATATTCGAACAGATACAATTAGTGAATGGTCATCAGAATGTAATTCATATACACGTGGAAGTGTTATTAAATTATCTTCAAATAATCAATATTATATTGCTATACAACATTTAAGTAATGCTGCTAATCCTCAATCGAAGTCTCATTCAATTCTTTATCGATTATTTGGAGATCCGACGTACTTTCTAACAGTTCAATTTATTTTATCTATTACTCTTATTGTATTTCATATTATATGGAGTATATTTGGTCGACATTGGGAACAAATATTAGTTGGTTATTTAATTATTTTTTATAGTTCATATCCAATATTTAAAATCATACGTGATAGAGTTATATTGGATTTCGTTGAAGAACATGAATATTTTCAAGCATCAACAATATCAAAACAGAAAAAATTAAGTTGAAAAATAAATAATTTTAATATAAAAAAAAAAAAAAAAAAGAAAAAGACAAAAAAAACCTACATCACACATTCATTTGATATTGACCTTTGTACAATGGATATACACCTAAAATAAAAAGAGAAATTTGATTTTGGTACTTTATTAATTCTTATAACAATTTCTTTTTCTTTCATTTCTTACCTGAAAATGACAACTCAACTGTTTCGGGTACTCTCGGACTATATTCATTATTGAATATAGTTGTTGTTGATTTTGAATGAAAACCTGAACTATTTGTTGATGATTCATTTGATAAGTTATCCAATATAGTTTTTGTATTATTATTATTAAATGATGTTGTTAATAAGCGATCTAAATGAATTAATAATAAATATTATTTTTTTATCAAGTGAAAAATCTATTGATAATAATACTTAAAATCGTTTGCTAACCTATTTTTGATCTTACGAGAGAACTATCACAACTGTAACTTTTTCCCTTTTGAGCTCCTTTTAGATCCATAAAGAATTTCGGTACGACTAGAAAAAGTTTAAAATGAATTGTCTCCACAGTCTTTCGAATCAAATTCTAGCCGTTGTACTAAATTTTGAACTCATTTATAGGTATTTAATGCAAAATTAAATAATAGATTTTCGACCTGAAATTTCATCTATAGGTAAGTTTACTGATCTTTAGAATATCTAGAAAGTTTCAGCTGAAATGAATGCTCCTTTGTCGAGATATTCAATTTTCAAGTAAATTCATTTTTTTTGTGGTATGTTTCTTGCAAACAATGTTTTTTGGAAATTCAATATCTCGATAAAAGAAGATTCTTTTCGACTGAAATTTTCAAGACTATTCTAAGAGTCATTTGACCTATCATCTATGAATAAAGTTTTAGTTCAAAATTCTATTAATTAATTTTCGCAGTAAATACATTAGATAGGTTGAAAATTCAATACTGCGATCATAACTCAGCTCTGAATGCTCATAGGAACAAATATCATTTCAACATTTTCTAGTCATTCGGAAGTCTCTTAGTGGGCCCGCTATGATCTTAAGCAATGAATGCCATTAATACAAAAAAAAAGCTAAACTTTATAAACATGATCTGGAATTTTTCAGAGTCTAGGATCCGATTCTATAGAAGGTTTGTTGAAAATCTTGAGTTCGATTTTCTCATTTAACAAAAATTTGATGGTCACAGTTTAGTTATATTCTATAAAATTCCGCTATCTATTTTTTTCTCAATAGTCCATCTCTTATCGAAAAAGTAGAAATGACTCTATGATCACTGTAGTCTTGTCATACATTCACCAAATTCATTGTTATTTTATAAGTGCATATCTAGCTCCCTGCAGTGATCTAGATAAGACTAGTGATTGTTGTCGCATTTTTTATTCAAATTTTGTTTTGTTACGATTTCAAATTATCAAATTTTCTCTTTAAATAGTTAAATAATTTTGTTTAAAATATTTAAGCAAATTATCAATAACGATTTCTCTACCTAACACAAAAACCAATAACTATCATAGAATAAATGACGAACTATGAATAATAAGATATCAAAGCTACTTTGACCTGCCATTACTCGACGCGTACAGACATGCATATGGGTACACATGTGTTATTGTATAGTAAAAATAATGTTTGATACAATGTAATAGACTTTGTATTTTTTTTCTCATTCTATGATATGATCGTGTTATTATTCTGAAACGCTTGAATATGATTCATTGACAATGTGATCGTCACGAAATATTCTACCCTGGATATTATTCACAATAATTAGTTTATGCATCATGAAAAACTTACATTAGATGATGAAATCAATTCTATATTTAGATATTACAACTTTATTGACTTAAGAATGTTGCTATGGATCTCATTTAAAAAATTAGTTCACTTAAGATTTAATGTTTAGCAAATAGAAAACAGATCAAGTACCAATACAATAAAAAACAAAATTATTTTGAACAATCAGTAAAAATATAGATCTCAAAGAAAACAAACTTATTTCATGAAAATTTACGTCATAATTTGATCTTTCAGTAATTGGATGTCATTGAGTTAAGCTACTATAGTACAATGATATAAGGTTCTAGTATGATTTTATATTTCAATATGCATATAGTGACAATTTCATTTATTGGTGACGTGATTTCACAAAATAAAAATGCATAAACATTTCGATAGTAAACTTTCTTTAATCTCATTTTTAACTGTCGAATGTATGTTGAGTTACTCGAGATGCTCTGAAAAACTCAGTCCTACAGACAGCTGTTGTACTGAGTTATTACTGAGAAACTAGTGTTAACAAGATGACACAAAAATAAGATTAAAGGCTTCCATTGCAGGCATGTTAATTTGTGAATATTGTATATTTGAAAAAGTATTTTTGAAAAGTAAATAATGAAATTTATGAAGGTTTTTTAGTCTGAAAAATCTCTACAGAAAGTTTCTTTTGAAAATGTTTAAACATTTTCAAAATATGAATTCATTGATTATTAACCACACAATTAATGAGAGAAGTCCTCCAACTAATTAATCGCTTATGAGTTACGACTAGGTACATCATGTAAACTCAAATGAGTTTTGAATATCTTGAAAAGAATTCTGGCTCTCAGACTATGGCTATGTAGACACTACAAATTTATAGCAATTTTTAAATAAATGCTATAGTTCCCTGAGACATAAGAGAAAAACTGATTTCTGAGTTTCAACCAGGCGTCGTAGCGATCCGTCCTGAGCATATAGGAAAATATAGGACTTTAAAAGCAATATTTTTATAGAATTTTGATAAAAATATAGGAAATATATAGGACTACTTCTTTCCATAAGAAAGTTTTTAGCAGAATTGCCAAACATTACAATTACTCCTACGATCATAAACAGTTTATACTCGAAGTTATCAAGTTAATTGAAAACGAATATATATATATACACATTTCAATTACTGAAGAAAAGAAACTTAACAGAGTTCAATCCAAAAAAACGTTAAAAATCATATAATAGTTTCTGATTGATTTATTAAAATATTGTTGACTAATATCTTTATCAGAATAATATAAAATAGCACGTAAGAAAAATGTATATAAAAAACGCTTAAATATATTTCTATACACAACTTATATTCTCTGACTAGGGGGAAAAGGGCGCAAAGAGGTCAAAGCGGGGATGGAAGTACTTTCAAATATGGAAAAATATGTGAACAACACGTGTCGAATACAGATGACTGGTGTATGAAGGTATGATTAATTCAAGTAAATTTATTTCATTTGTTAGGTCAAGTATATTTTTTTCGAAAACGGAGAAGAGTTCACCTGAAATTTCCCAAAAAATCATGGGAGCTGTTCTCATTTTTCAAAGATTAGAGGCAGCACTCTACCCTCACCCTCGCCCATGTCACCCTTATATCTATCTTCGTGATTATTGACATTGAATAGATTTAAAAATTGCATAGATAATTATTTGCAAATATATAAATGAATGATAGGAAAAAATCTCTTTTACTTAATACTAGGAGTAAATCAACTTAAGTCTTTTGTTTCTTGTTTTGTTGTTGTAATTGTTTAGCAAATGCAACTTTTCTTTTCTTTTGAATAGTAATTAAGTAATGAACTGCACCGGACTCCAAAATGCCATTTTGATTCCAATGGAGTGGCTGAAAAATATTTTTTCGGAGTCACTATCGGAGTTATATCTGTAAGACAGTCGGGTTTTTTTTACTCCTGCATAGCCGTAACTTCCTTATTGATATCTTTACTAATGAAAAATTATATCTACTATTTTTAACATTATGAATAAGTCTCAAGAAAAGTTAATAACATTCGAGAGATTCACGCTTACGAATAGCAAAAAAGCGCTTTTTTTTCGGAAAACGTTTTTGGTCATTTCGTTTCTGTGGTTTCTGAAAAATCATCACCAAGAATAATGAATTCTACACTAATATACGATGTTTACTATTTACTGATTCGTTTAATTATTCATTTGCAATAATTTTACGCGTCAAAATAATATAAATGTCGCCAAAATGCAAAAAAAAAATCGGGGCTGAAGTCTAAAATTTTTTGGCTAGGTTAGACGAGAAATGTTTTGGGAAATTTCATAGTAGGGGTCGCGTTTTAGATCCCAAAATTTTGACATCGTAGTTCACTATCATTAAGACCTCTGTAACTTTCGATCACTCCTTACTTATGAATTTACTTCTCTTATCATCACCATCAATTAATATTATACTGTCGCTACCTGCTATCAGTTCTATTGTGGAAGCTAATGGTAATACATACAGAAGAATGTGTATCTTTTCTGACTGAAATGTGATTCGCTTCAGAATAATCTTTACTTTTTCGAAATATATACGAAATATAGGACAAATACCTGAAAAAGAGGACATTATTGGACTATTTCTAAAGATATAGGAAATATAGGACGACTACGAGGCCTGGTTTCAACTGAAAAATTTGTACCGAGATAGTTTCTACCGAGCATAGTCTATGGTGAAAACCTCAGATCTCATGAGCGGCTTCAATTCTAAAATAAAAACATTGAATCTGCTCTTATATATGAACGATGTAAACGGCACACTTTTACCATAACTGTATCTTAAGATAGAAACAACAAAAAGATCAGAAACTTTCACGAGAAATTCATTTCATTAAGGCCTGTCTCTGTGCACAGATTCCAGTAAAAATTTGAAAACCAGTTTTCCTTGTGTTCCGGAAGGGCTCGAAGGTATGCTTTTAAAACTGTCGTAAAAGTACAGCATCTCAGCAGTAGTAAGCGAAGAACCTGAATTAATTAATTTTAGGGTATTCATAGCTCAATTAGTTGTACATAATGCACATAGTCTCAACGAAAAAGTAATTTATCAGCTAATGTCCTTTCTGCATAAATCCAAATATAGAAACAAAAAAAAAATCCGTTTTGTAACTAAATATCATTCAAAATAGTACAAATATTTTATAGGGAGCTTGAAAAGATAGCAAAACAAAATGTTTTGTTCGAGACCAAGAATAAACTTCTGGAAATCGAATCTTCTGACAGACAATTTTGAAGATTTCATCGTGCTAGAACTATCACCATAGATAGAGTTTCTGGTATGGAATCTATCTTGAAATCCTTTACTAGCTAGGCTTAATAAATTAACTCATCATATTTAATTAGGAATGACGTGAAAGACCCAATACTTGTTTAATAGAAAAAAAGAATCAAAGTCAAATCGAAGACGATCATATTGTCGTTGTAGTTTGTTTTTCCCTCATAGATTGTATTTTTCCTTTAGTAAAAAAAGAAATAGGTAAAAACTAACCTGTTGACTCCATTTGTAATGATAATTTATCAATATTATTCAACAAATTATTACATGTTCTTAAAGATCCAACTTCTTTGATAAGTTCATTAATTGAATAATGTTCATCATAAACAATAGGAAGATTTTTATTATTTAAACATTTATGTTTTTTTCGAATTCGTCTGACACGACAACAACAATAAATAGCAGTAATAGAGAAAATAATTATTAAAACAAATGTAATTAATATAATTGATACTAAAATCATAGTTGGATCTAATTAAATATAAAACAAAAAAAAAACATGGTTTTAAAAAATGATGAAGAAAAGAAAAAAAAGAACTTTTTGCTTGTCTTACCATCAGATGTATCCATTTGATAAAGACGACTTTGTTCAATACCAAATTCATTTTCTCCTATACATGATAAACGATTAAAAGTCTTTGATGATGGAATTATTCTAGGATAATCATAGGCTAATTTTGATGTACAACTATAATCAGCACATGTAGTTGATATAGATAATTGATCAGAAGATTCAATAGGTTGATCATTTAATCTCCAAGTTATTCTCTAAATAGATAAAATAATTAATAGACAAAAAAAATCATTTTTATTTTATTTTATTTTATTTTACGTACGAGAATTGGACTAGAAGAATAAACTTGACATTCAAATAATCGATTATATTGTTTTGATTCTTGAATATAAATCAATGGTTTACCTAAGTAAAATACAATTTTCCTAAAGGTGAAAAACAAACAAACCAATACTAAATACCTTTGATATAAATAATAAAATCATTTTTTATTGGTTCAAAACCATCTGTTTCAATATGATATGAATAAAATCCTTGTTGTTCTCGTTTAGTTATATTTGTTAGATTAAATAATGAACCTTCGGCTATTAATTCTCCATAACGATACCAAGTAATTTTTGCACGAGGATACGAATCAACTATGCAACGAAGTACTGTTGGATTTGATGATGATTTACTATCCAAATCCACGGTAACAAATTTTGGTGGACGAATAATCAATACCGGTGGATCTATAAAATATCAACATATAAAATCAAAAATGAACATAACCTTCAGACGACCTTAATCCCTTCTCCGATTGAAAATGTTCAGTTTTTTTCGCTTTTTAAGCTCGGTATGTAGACTTTTAAATGTTTTCGATCTAACATAAGAACATATTCAACTGTCGGACACTGTTTGCTTGCGTATGTTGGCTATGAAGAGTATTCAATGAAACGAAAACTCTAAATGGGCTCGAACCCATACGTCATCCAACCAAAGTTACGATCAGTTTTGTAGGTTTTCAAAATTTCGGATGAGTTATTCATGGAAAACCCAATTGAGAGATTTTCATCTGAAATGACTGCCATAGACAAGTCTCATAATCACTAGAATATCTTTAAACTTTCAGCCTAAACAAATGTATTCTCCTTGAGATATCGAGTATCCAACAAATATTTATATGTAAGCAGGCAAGATGTAGAATCAAGTTTTCTTAGACAGTCGATATATCATGAAAAATACCTTCGCTAGAAATGAAGCTTTTAGAGTATTCCTACTGGTCACGACATTTGTCTATGGAACAAATTCTAGATGAACATCTTGTAACTGAAGTTTTCTATGAATGGCTTGTTCTGAGACTGAAAACCTACTAAAGCAGTAATAGTTTTGGCAGAGCAACACATAGGTTAGCATCTGCTTAGGGCCTTCACAGATTCTTTGAATCCTATCCACAACTAAAATACTGAACCGAGTACCATTCGATAGCTAGATGCTCTCTCGTTAGAAAGACATTTTAGGAAGTCAAAAATTGTTTTCTTTTATATAAAAACCTCGAAAAAACTTCAGTTCATGCTCAGAAATCATACGTTCAGCTTTATACCTGTTTCTCCAACTAAGTTTTCAAATGAAAAGTTGAAGACTTTTCCTTTAGGATGCAGTCGAGTAAACTCAAAGTCTTTTTCCATTATCAGTAATTCAATTAAATTAACGTGCACTTTTTTTTCTATCTTGAAAATATCATACTTTCGAACTTTAGAAGAGTTCACAAAATCAACACCATTCGAAAAAAAGGCGCTTTTCGATGGCTTCTTTTTATAGTATCTCTGGGAATTTAGTTTTTATGAGTCTCAAGCACACACACGGTCCAGATATGACTCTAATTGCCATAGAAAAATGTTTAATCACACAAAAGAATTGTTACAAAATTTTAAAATCTATGAAAACTTTTATTTTTCATATCAAGATTGATGTATGCTGAAAGTTTCAAAATTTTTTACTAAACTTTTCTTGAGAAAGTGCAGCGACAGAAAGGATCATCTTAATAATATAGAAATGCTTACATCGAATTAATAATCGAATACTTGTATTTGTCATGCCAACTGAATTTATTGCTGTGCAACCAATTGAATGATTGTGAACATGTTTTGATAAGGGAATGTTAATTACTGAACTTGTTAATGATGTTAAATCGATTGAATTGGCAAACCATCTAAAAGAGTTTTTAAGTGTAAATGATTTAAATAGAAAGCAAAAAAAAAACAAGATTTTACTTAAATTGAGGTTCAGGGTTACCCTGAACAATGCAGCGAAATGTTGCTGTTGAATTAACAGTTAATGGATGACGATTTTGTGATTCAATACGAACTTTTGGTTTATCTAAATCCAATTATTAATGTTGACAATATCAACTAAGATTTATAAATTTTATGATTTTTCTACTAAAAACTCGATTTTATTAGAAATTTTACTTGTTTCCAAAATAAAAAAAACAAGTCTTCACAAAATTTTTTCGTCTCAAAATCAAACACAACGTACAGGTTGAATTTTGGTGCATCTCGATAAAAAAAACGCTTTCAATTAAAGAAGGCAGAAGAACATTTCTGTCCTTCGACTATCGTGTAGTACAGAGTGTTGACTAGTGGCACATTTAGTGACTCGAAACCTTCTCTACAACCAATACTAGGTGTAGCTTTAGACAGAAGACTAGACTTATACAGAATTCTAGTGTTTAATTACTTGAGCTTCTCATACATGCTCAGTAACTACAGAAACAGTTGTATGTCACATTGTTGTCACCATGCAGTCATATGGATAATTCAGAAAAAACAGCCATCAATGACTTTTACACGGTCATTCGATGACTTATGTTACTAAGTTTTGTCCAGAGTACCTTGTGGTTTCATGTTGAACAATGTAGCCACTTACGAAGGAACATTTCTAAGTATCAGATCACTGTTGGTTTCGGACTATGTGCATTATATAGATTCTGTTGAGTTATGAATAATCTGAGAAAAGTTCAGACTGATAGCTTATTACGATCGAAATATTGTATTTTTAAAGTATTTTTTAGCGCTAAGTCGTACTGCCTCTCATGAACATCAGATAAATTGAAATACGAATTTCGACTTGAAACTCTATACAGATACAAGCCTTATCGAGAGTTGTCGATTGTATAAGGTTCAGATCTTTTGATTGCTTGTCTTAAAATACCCCTATGATAAAAGCATGTTTTTCATGCTATACATATACAACGGCTAATTCTGATGTTCTTATTTCAGAAGAAAAGCCATTAAAAAATCTGAAACTTTCAAAATAAACTATGCTCACTAAGACTGGTCTCCATGAAAAATTCAAAGTCGATATTCGAAACCCTATTTTTCTGGTATTCTTAAGAGGAAGCACAGCCTTCTGATTAAAAATACAGTATCATATCATTAATACGCTATTAGCCTGAACTCTTTTTAGGAGATTCATATGTCATTAGAAGCGACATAATGCACATAGTCCCGAATCAAAAGCGACTTGACACTTAAAAATCTTGTCTCGTCAGTCATACCAGCAGCTTTCAACGGATTACATATATATATATTCCGTTCAAACCGAAGAAGAGATGTATATCCTTCTTCCGATTGAAGATAATTCAGTTTTCGCCAACAAGACAAGAAAATGTTTGCTGTTGAAACTGTAAACTACTTCTATGAGATACTATTATACTTCCGCGATCTATACATCACTGTTCATAAGTTCATTTACAAAAGACTTCATGTAGGATTTGAATATCTTTTATTAATTGACTTACAATAAGCTTGTATTGTTGCTGTAACATCTAATTGAGGATAGTTTGTAAATGCATAGATTTGTTTACATTTTATAATGATATTATGCCAACTACTGTCTGGATTTTTGATTGTATAAATAAGTTTAGTTAAATTTTTATTTGTATTCATATCTAATTCATAGATATACATTGAAGATAATAATTCTGACATTAGAATTTGTTCATTTTTATATAAAATTAATTTGGATGCTGGTTTTGATGGAGATGATATGCAAGTTATATTTGCTGAATGACCTGGTTTTAATGGCATATCTGGTAGTAATAATCTTGGTTGACCGTTGGGTGGTGCTAATAAAAAAAAACAGAAGAAAAAAGAAATAACCAATAAAAATACAAAGTTTCAAGTATCATTTTATACCAATAACGGTCAAACGAACACGTTCTGAACGTGCTTCATGTGCATGCATTGTTCTCTGTATTTGACATTGAAATATTCCTTCATCTTTATTTGATACATCAGTAATCGATAGATTATAATGATCTAAACAAAAAGAAAAAAAAAACCGATTCACTAAATCATTTATTACATTCATAAATAAAATAATCTAAGTGTATTACATCATCAAATACACTTGTCGCTTTTAGAAAAATTACATAGTCAAAGTCAATCAAATATTGATTATATACAGACAACCGTTTTGTTTTATTTTCTAAATGAATAGATATTTCCGGTTCTCTCTTTTTTGCTATTTTTTAAATTGATCTTTCTTCGAAACAACAATAGAAACAATGGATCAGTCAAAAAAGAAGATATAGCTATTATCAACTAGACAAAAGAAAAAGAATAGCAACTATAATTAATAATAAATGCGTACTTCCGGTTAAATGATAAAAGTAACAGCACATTAGTTTTGCATGAAACATACTATATAAGATTTATTCATACTACTAGTTTTATTTTAATAAATTATATGAAAAGAATATAATTGTTTCTATACATACTAAGACGTTCATTGACGAATAATCGAAATCTTGGATATGCTGTATATTGATAAATACTTATCAGACCATTATGTGTTGTTTCATGACGAACTAATTGTGCTTTACCTAATGTGCAAAAATCATTCCAACACCATGTTACAGTAGCATCAAATTGTTTTGAAACAATACAAGGTAATTGTATGGTTTCACCTGGATGTACATTAATATTATGTGGTCCAATAAGTATTTTTTGATTGATTCTTGGATGAACTAATTTAGAAAAAGAAATAAGAATAAAAATCATATAAAAAAAAACAATATTTACTAATTTCAAATGCATGGACAATTTTAATTGTCAATGAAAATGTAACATAAACGATGATAAATAATGATAGTTGTTGTCGATAAGTGGAAATCATGTTAAATAAACTAAAAGACAACGTATCGAAGAACGTATGAATAAATAAATGGCGATTGAAAGACGTTTTCTGATTAACATCTGTATATGTACGGAGATCCTATCATATACATATATGCATTCGCTCAATATACAATTACTTTCATAGCGCAGATTTATGCATACATGCATATATTATATCTTAAATTACGTCCTTCCAAAATATGCATATGCAGAAAAAAAAAAGAAAAGGAAAGAGACAAGACATGAACCTTGTGTATGTTACATTGATTTAATCAAATACCTTGATTTATAAATTTATCTATGTAACAAAAAAAAATGGGAAGATATTAATAATTTTTAATGATTAAATGTATTCATATTTGAGGAGGATAATAAAAATCAAATGAGCAATGACTGTCATTTGATGACGACAAATGACATAGTGTAAACTACGGGCTTTCACTTACGTTTATTTAATATGATATTAAAAGTTAATATAAGACAGTACTCATGTATATTGCCATAGGTAATGAGACAAGATTGAAGAATGCTTCTACGTAACTTGTACAGAAGGATGTTACTTTTCAAAATATAGCCGGATTGTTCTTATATTGAGAGCGAACTGATCAATAATCATCTAGTCGGCTCAGTCAAATATGAGTATTTTTTAATATTATTACACAAGATCATCTAGCAATTCTTTTATCAAGAATAGTAGAAGGAGTAATGCACATACTTACATATGCAATGCGCAGCTTATTTAAACAGAATAATAAAGCAATGGAGATAGAGATCGGCAAGTTAATCATTCTCTCTCTTCGTACATTTATTCAGTGATTACCTCAATAAGTGTTAGTCTCCTTCTTCATTCTTGGTAGAGGATAGACTCATATTATTGTTTACATAAAGCTAGATTTGCCTGTTGCTCTTATAAACATATAGAAAGATAAAGTTAAATGAACACGCATAATATTGAGTATACCACAATGCATATAGAGGGTGAAATGTCCATATAATAATGTCATTTGTTATATGTTGAAGAAGAAAAAGAAAGAAGAGAAGAAAAAAAAAAAAGAAAAGAAATGAAAAGGATTGCATGAGTGAGGTGGTACTAATTCTAAACATCATCCGTCACACCTTGTTGTTGAACAGATGTGTTCACGAAAAAAAAATCAAAGTCATCCAAAAAAGAAAAAGTGCAATAAAAGCAATAGTCATTTCATTCACAACTAATTCACACCACATTTATACATTACTCTGATGTTTGTATGTTCAAAACAGTCATACAACAGTCAACTGTTAATCGACAATCAAATCAAAGATGCTAATCAGTTTTAACCTCCTTAATACTTACTTTACATATATAGACTACGTACCAGCTGTTGAATTTATCTCACTGAATCGAAATTGTTATACAAATAGAAAAATGTTTTTATCTATTTATTAAAGTAAATTATCACTTTGTCAAACAAATCTTAACCAGAAAAACTGATGTTTGTATCAATTCTCATGATTATATATATATCATGATGATTTTTAATCAATGAGAGAAAAGAAACTAAGGTGTTACTTCAATATACGAATAGGTCATTTTTTCTTTTGTTGAACAAGAGAGAAAATTCATTTTCATAAACAATGACCACTTGTGTGTACCAACTTCTGGTGCCACCACATATTGATTAATCATTCGTTTATGCTCTATTGCACATTTCGATATACAAAAACGAGATGAATGATACCCTAGAGAATTCTTTTTCAATAATAATGATGTAACATACATTCAATTTTTTCTTTTTCTTTTTTTTTCATGACCTTGTTGAATTTTTTTCTTAAAAAAAGTTCAAAAATATGTAAATTACAAAAAAAAAGTTAGACGAAGACGGATCGATCATTATTCTTTCCGGTTGATAACTGATGACATTATTCATTATTATTACTATTTTATTTAAATGACAGTATGACAAAAGTAACAAAGCGTTAAAGTCACGTAATAATCATCAGTCTGATGCCATTTCTTTTTGTTTGATAAGAAATCAAAGCAATGAAGTGTTATTCTCATTAAGAAAAATAGATAAAAAAATTTTTTACGCATATTCAAATTAATGTTGACAGTTGTAAGAATAAGAATATTTAATGATAGAAAATAAATTGAATAATTTTTTCAGACATCAGAATGAGATATTACAACATCACGAATGAACTCCCTTCTCTTCATGTTTCAATCTTGAAAAATTTTTTATTTAACTTCTAATTGGTTTCCTGACTCATTGAATGTTGATCATCTACGTTTAACATATTTTCTTTGGAATTTTATTCAATAGATTCAATTAATATAATAGAATGAATTCTATATTTATTAAACATAAAATATTTTGGAAAATGAATTTTCATTATTGGTATAAAATTTACATGCTATGCATTTTAAAGATAATCTTTATGATAGTTGTCTTTCTTTTTCTCTGTATAAATGTAAAAAAACGAAAAACTTTGCATATATACAGGTCATATGTTGTAATTGACACAATGCATGGTCATGTTGATTTCTATAACTGATCAACTTTTTTTGTCAAATAGTTAATGATCATGAATAAACTTAATTGTAACTGTCCATACACATTTACGATTGAAATTATTGACAAATGATTTTTTTTTCCATCTTTTGAACACTACTTTATATTTTAAGTATATTCGAAGCTTGTTCATTATTTAAATATTTATATAGAATTTTTGTTGTGCTTTTGCATAATGGTTCAATAAGAATTATGACGAAAGTTGTTTTTTTTATTTTTTGTAGAAAGATAGAAGATAAAAACAACTAATTTCATCAGTCTTTAACGATATTGCGAAAGATAGTTCTATATAAGGGATTATAAAAGTATGTTTTATAAATATTAAAAAAAAGAATTTTACATATTACGGCGTATAAAATGAGTCAAGATAATCATTTATCTTCATTGGATATTGACAAAATTGCTCGACTTTTCGACAAACCAGATGTCGTTCAAGCATTGATACTGACAGGTAGCTATGCACGTAATGAAGCAGGTCCAAATAGTGACATTGATCTTATACGTTTTGTCATTTCTGGAGCAAAATTATCAGATGATGGAACACATTTATATGAGAAAAAAATGCTTATTAATATATTAACAGTAGAACCAGATGAATATGAAAAATGGTTTACTGATCCTTATCAAGCTACAAAATGGATAGCAGGAATACGAGTAGCACGTGTAATTATAGATCGTGAAGATTTTTTTACTAATGGATTACAAATTCGTGCTCATAATTTTACTTGGGATACGACAATCCAAAATCATGCTAATATTGAAGCCAGTCATCGAATGGTTGGTTGGTGTGAAGAAGCAAATAAAGGTTTGGAAGGTCTGCGACGTAATGATGTTGGTCGTTTTCTTAATGCATGCCATGGCTTATCATGGGGTTTATCAGAAGTTATACAAATTCAACACGGTATATTAGTATCCAGTGATAATAATGCTGTTATTGAAATCGAATCAGCATTAGGTGATAATATACAAATGATTAAACTTCGTCGTATTGCGTTTGGAGTTATAGGAACTTATTCATTACGGCAACGAGTTATAGCTGGATTACAATTATTTGTATTACTCGCTGAACAGATGTCGAATATTTGGCAAGCAAATGATGTTCAAATTATTGACTATACTGCTGATCAAATACGTAGTTTTGTTCCAAATCTGTTTTCAGAAAAGTTTTTAGATGAATAAATACAAAATTTAATAATATGATAACTGCTAAAAAAAACTAAACTCTTGAAATACTGCACATGCTTAAATTAATGAAGAAAAACAAATAGCAGGTGATGTTCGGTAAAAATTACTGACATTTTAGTTCTATATAGGAAAATGCTTATCGTAGGGATATCTTTGAAGAAAGGGTAACGTATTTATATAAAAAACAATAATACGCATTTAGCTGATTCCTTACAAAAATCTTATAACATATTTATAATAAATTTTTATCAAGATAATAGAATCATAGAATTGCTTTTTGTATGTGTGTGTGTGTGTGTGCAATATCGATTAATACTTATGTTGACTTGGATGATTAAACAAGATGTTATTTGATGTTTCTTATTACTTGCCGATGTAAGAAATCAATAATATAAAAATATATTTGCCGGACTAATTGTTAAACGTTTGATAATTGACGATCGTGTCACATGGGACTTTTTGAATTGTTTTTTATACTTATATGTACTCTTTCGTATTCTTCGATCGAACATGTAATGGATGATATTTTTAATGATGAAAAAAAAAATATAAAAATTATTATTTGTCATAATATGTGAAGAATGATAAACTGTTAATTTGTATTTTAATATTCTATTTTTAGAAAAATGTGTGTATGGCTCTTTTTGATTCGTGCTTCCGGATTAATTCTGTAGATATACATTAAATAATAAATGTTGAGACGTGCGTCAAAGACTAGTTATCATGATTAACTTTCAAAGCTAAAATTAAAACTATTTGTTTGACGTTTATCGTTACAGATGAGCAATATAAAGATGATTAAGCATAACAAGACAGATGAAGCCTTTTTATTCTCGTATACACATGCGATGTGCTCAGTGAATTCTTCAGCTATGCATTGGTTTTATTTTTCATTGAATTTTTTTTTTCAATTATCAATTTTTTTTTCATTATTTATCTTTCATAGAAAAATTTTAGTCGGTGTTTTTTTTTCTTTCCTCAGGAAATCGGAGAGCAAAAGTTGAGATGAACAAATAGTATATTTTTTTTTACGTAGTATTTTAATCAATCAATTATTTGGTTTGATGACGGTTCAACAGAGTTAATTTTGAATGCAAAGTTTTTTTTTCTTGCATACGTTGTCGTTTTTTTTCTTCTACGTCTTTAAAAAAAACATTCAACGGAATTTGATCGTCATTGTTTGTTCTGATTTTTCCTTTTTTTTCTTTCTTTTTTAACAGAAGATTAGAAAAAAATAGTGTATATATATATATACACACAAAACTTTTTCTAATGGAAGAATTCATGCAATAAGACTTTCCTTTTGAAAAATTCTCTTATGTAAATGATATGTTTCTATTCCAATTTTTTATGTACAAATAGTCAGTGATATTTCCTGTTTGTATTAGGTAAACCTGATTATTTTGATAAGAATCCTTAATCTATCGATATACAAATTAAGGAAGATGTAATGCATTTGTTGTTAAGATTTTCTTATTAATCAGTCAACTAGTAAGATGTATTTATGTGTGCGTATATAATCTAATTGAAATAGAAGAAAGAAAGGTATTTCAAAGATAGCAAGGAAATAAGAAGCAAAGAAACTGTTTCACAATGAGCTAAGTGTCGTCACACGTTCTATTCTTCTTTTTATTTGGTCACACTGTTCGGCACGTACATAGATTAGCGAAAAAAAAGAAAAAAAAAGAAGTAAACGTCAAAGTAAGAAAAGAAGAGCAATGAAGGAAGAAACATCCTCTTAGAATTTTCTTTTAAACGCCACGAATAGACGGGTTTCTCTTCATACCGGGTTACACATTCTTTATTTTGTATGGCAACTTTACTTTTTCTACTGTGCTCTATTTCCTTATTGACGTCGTCATCCTCACTCTTTTCTTTTTTTTTTTTCTTCTGGGATAATAAATCTTGATTATGAAAAGTGAAATAGAAATATTATGATAGAAGAAACAGAAAGGAAAAGGGTTATTTTGTCATTGTAGCAATATACTTAGACTAATAATCATAATTAAATTGCGACAATTTGACATTAACATCTGTTGATAATAGCTACCAACAAGATATGACCTTCTTTTTATATTCCTAGTGAAATTATGTTCAACACAACGATTATTTTTAACGATATTCGGATACAGCAGGTAAATTTGTCACCTTAGAGAAGATTCATATATATATATCTAGAAGCAATGAAAAAGAACTAGTATATTCATTTTACTTCTTGTGAACAAAATAATATTCATTATCGTTATTATCATCATGAAATAAGAAGTCACTAGAGATCTAGATGAATTATAGTCGTGACATATTTAGAACATATAACAGAATAAAGTCGGAAGGGAAATAAAACTGCTAACGTGGCATATGTTTTCCTATGAAATACAGATTGTAAACAGAAAAAAACTACTAGTCATACTTTTGAATAAATACTAATGAATAGTAGTCTCTAAGTATTTTTTTTCCTCAATATTAATGATTATGAGAAGTAGTTCTCATTTTGTACCCTACCTCTTCAAAAGGCTTTTTATCTTTCATTGTTATCAAAGTGGTACTTGAAAATTAGATTAGAAAATTTTTAGTAAAACTAAAAGAAAATTCTTTAAGCTTACGCGACTTATTCAAAAAGAAAAAAAGAACTTTGTTTATGTGTTAATTTTTTACTATCAATTTTTATAGATCAATGTCTGCTTGTATCAACAATATGAATGAAGGTGTACCATCGTTGTCGCTATTATTATTTGCAGCAACGAGTGGATACCGATGCACCTGTTACCATTACAAAATCACGTAAGTTAAAATAACAAAAAAAGGAAAAACTTTTTTTTACTTTTTTTGAAATATTTTGGACTGTAGTCTTATTATATAAATACACTTTTTCCTAGATTAAAATAAATCGTTTTTTTTTTCTTTTGACTTTATTTCTCTGTTTTTTTATTCTTACTTCTGCTATGATTTTGTTTCTTAGATGTTCTCGATGTTTTCTGTTGCTATACCGTTTTCTTCTTCTTCGTCTTCTTCTTCTTCTTCTTCTTCTTCTTCATCTAACTTGATAGAGTAAATGAGAGAAAAGGAGGCGCTCTGTCAGCCTTGTGTTTGCATTATGTTCATGATCTATCAATGAATTTGATATGCGCAAAGTTAGGTAGATTATAATTAGACAATTCTTGATCAGGTCATGACAAAGAAAAAAAACAGATATTAGACTGCCTTTGATTTGATTTATTACATAGATTACCTTTTTTTTTTCTTATTTTTTTGTATTTAGACGAGCGCTAGACCATTAATGCCCGGCTCTCGACGTGGTTTGGTTGCACCACAAAATACTTTTCTTGAATCAATCATCCGCAAATGTAGTGGTGCCCGTAAGTGTTATTTACTGAGATGTATTGATTTAAGACAAATGAAAGACATCCGAGACTGTTATTAGGAAAAAAAAACAAGAAATTTTTTTCAATTAAATTTACCTAAAAAATATTTCATTTTTCTTTTACTTTGAACTTTTATGTCATTTTTTGCACTTGATTTATCTTTATATACTTCATTAAAATTCTAAAATGTTCATTCGAATGCAACATTTTGATTATAAAATTGCTTATTTTATTTGTACCGAAGTTTTTTCCTTACTAGAGTATATATATTGATATGCATTCAAGAGGTACGAGTGCTATGGTTCAATGATATTTCCTGTTGCTCTTACACATAAATAATTTCCCAATACACATAAACATAAGACGAGGTAGATAGACATCGAATCGGCAAAAAATGCTCTTTTGGAATAGCAAATGAGTGATCCATTGGGAAATACAAAGAACGTGCATATACTGTCAACCATTCGTTTTTAACATTCATATTGAAAATATCCATGTATGTCACGTCAACAAACAACATATATACAGGTGTCAATCCTATAAGCACCTGTCGAAAATCAAAGAAAAAGAAATCAATTAAGGAAAATGAACATGAAGAAATGTCTAGCCAGTACTGATTTACCTTAGATTTTCGGTCGAATGAGCAAAAATTCATTACAATTTAAAGAAATATCACTGTAGAATCTAAAATAGATTGTGTGTACTATCAAAGACATCATTGTTTACGAGACAAATTAATAGAAAACAGAATGTTATTTATTCTTTAAATGATCTAGATACATATATTAATCTGATTAATTATATAAAATATCCTTTATAAGTACTAAAAAATAGAAAGACAAAACATATATTTAGATACCGCGTTCGTTTTATCAAATGCTGAAATACTCGATTATCCGATTGTTTATTCAAATGATGGTTTTACCAAATTATCGGGCTATTTAAGAACAGATCTATTAAGTAAAAGTTCAACATGTAATTTTATGTATGGTGAATTAACTAATAGTGAAACACAATCGAAAATACGTGATGCCTTAGAAAATTGTCATATTGAACAGGTTGAAGTACTCTTATACAAAAAAAATAGTAAGATAAAAATATAGTCAATACTGTTGTTTTTTTTTCTATATTAGAAACATTTTTTATAGAAACACCTATATGGGTATTTATGCAAATAGCTCCGATAACAAATGAACGTGATGCAGTGGTACTTTATCTGTGCACATTTACAGATATTACAGCACTTAAACAACCGATCGAAACTGAAGATACAAAAAGTGGTCTTAGCAAATTTGCACGTATTGCAAAATCGGTTACAAGAAATCGTTCAATTTTGATGAATTTTGCTGCACCAAATGCAAAATCGATTACGATTGATCCAACAAAACCATCACATCTACCAAATGTATGTTAGAAATAAACGTAGAGTTCATCGAATACTAGATTTTTGAACATGAATCCGACGGGCTCTAGTAAAAGGATGATGAATTAGGCGGCGTTCTAAGCAAAAAAAAATTCTTGTCTGATTGAAAAGATGATTTCCTAGGCTATGAACTTTTTAGAGATTTTTTTATAGTTTTACTGATATCTACTTAGGAATAAAACATGAGGTCAAATGTTTTAAATATTGTTGTTTTTTGATGAATATGTGTTATTATTTTACAAGAGAGGTCGATTTTTTGAAAGAGTACAGACGAGTAAAGATATTCATATTGATTCTTTCAAAAAATATTTTGGATGACAGATAACAGCACTCTGTCATAATATATATTGAAAATATTAATTTCCGTTACAAAATGTTCAAGTTGACGTGATAGAAGACATTTTGATATTTCTGTATTTCATATTTCTTCATTATTTTATCAAGATTTAAATAAATTATTGTTTTATTTTTTAGTTACTTAATCTCAGTGCTGAAGTATTACCGGTAAGTAATACAACATGGTCCATAAATCATTAGAAGATGAAAGCCGTCAATAGACTCAGTCTGATTTAATGAATCGGGCTGATCTTTTTCTCAATGATTGAGAACTCTTGAATGGATACTGCTTTGAGGCAACACATCTGAAATTTTCAGCATGTATACTATCTAAGGAATGTAGTCTAACGAGAGTGAATGAACTGTGTTCGCTTATGTTGAAAAGAAATTATCATATATAATACGTTCTCTCCCTATGAGTCTTCCAACTGAAGAAGTGGAGAAAGTTAAGATCTGATTAACTGATCAATATGAAAACATCTGCAGCTTTTAAATAGTTACATGAAACTTAATGAAATCGATAGCGTTAATACCCACATTAAAAGACTATATACTGACAGGTTTGCCAAATCATAAGCTTGTTCTCTTGTTGATTTGTAGAATTCACGCTGAGAAGGATGACCATAGAATCATAACTACTCTTCAATTCAAGCAAACGACGCCGGGATGATATCATTAACTTACATTTCTAAAGAATAGTATGTAGGCTAAAAATTTCACACATTTTCAATTTAAGAACAGCTGTGATCGCAGGATGAGATACTTTTGATCGATAGTGTATTTCATCATTGCGGTTATTAGTGTTAGTTCTACACAGTATCTGTTTGACAGTTTCTTTATAAATAAAAACATTGACGAACACTCTATCACTGAGAAACAAAAACTGTGAGCACAATCCCCATGGGATTAAAATGTGAAACATGAGGTAGTTACTCCATAATGGGCAATATCTATCAAGCATATAGACATGACTTATCTTCTGTCAAAAATGAAATTTTTTCATAGAAATACTAGTTATAAGATTGATCAAAAAACCAAAATTTAAAAAAACCAGAATATTTCCAATTGAAGATATTTGAAACGAACTCTTACCCTAAACTCACGTGAAAAACTTTTTATTTTAAAAATTGACAAATGATGTATCACTTGCTTCGATTGTTCATATTGATTCCAAAATATGTTTTTTATTTTTCTTTCAAAGCGCTTCTGTGACAAAGAAATCGGAAAAATCTGAAAAACCAAGACTCTTAGAGAACCTGGATCTCAGTTCAGATACATTTGTGCTAACTGAGTGTATATATCTCAGTTATAGAAGAAAATTCTCTGAAAGCTTTGATAGTATCGAATTAGTGGAAAAAATTGGTAGTCAACTTTACAGAAGACGTCTTTTCAGAAAACACTTGCGAGGGAACATTCCCAAGTGTCACATCGCTTTTGAGTTCAGACTCTATGTATAAGGTAGACCCCAGTGAGATATGAAAAATCCCGGAAGAATAAGTGCCCTTAGGCCTTCTGTCTAGAGTTATAGGCATTTTACTGGAATTTTAGCCTTTGGCATGGTATATATCGACAAATAGAATGATGGTATTTTGACCTGAGATTTTGCCTACAGATAGATCTATTTGTGAGTAGAATACCCGGAAAATTTTAGCTCAAACGAATGTTTTATTGCTGAGATAATAAAGTCCCAAAAAACAGTAAATTCTAGCATCTTTCGTGGGATATGATTGATTTTTGGGACTTTAATATCTCAGCAATAAAACATTCGTTTGAGCTGAAATTTTCCGGGTATTCTACTCACAAATAGATCTATCTGTAGGCAGAATCTCAGGTCGAAATACCGTCATTCTATTTGTCGATATATACTATGCCAAAGGCTAAAATTCCAGTAAAATGCTTATAACTCTAGACAGAAGGCCTAAGGGCACTTATTCTTCTGGGATTTTTCATATCTCACTGGGATCTACCTTATGCATAGAGTCTGAACTCAAAAGCGATGTGACACTTGGGAATGTTCCCTCGTTAGCTTAAAAAAAATAATTACTTTTTCAGAACGAAATGTTTCTTGTAAATCGATAGAATAGAAATACTAATTTTAGACTATATGTATATGATTCATTATCTAACTGCTTTAATGTTCCACAAGAATAGTATTTTTTTCTCTAAAGATGTCGAAGTTTGACATTTTTTGTGATGAAGCTTTTTCACTAAAGTTAGAAGTTTGAACAAAATCAAAATTCTTTTTTTTCTTTACCAAAAAACTGGTTGTTAATCAAAGTGTATAGGTTACTATTTATATCTCCAAAAAATCTGATTTTCATCTTTTTCACCAAATGTCCGTATGGTTGCCTACTGTGCGCTGTTGTTAATCAGACGAAGATTGTTTTATTTTGTCTATTTTGAAGTACATTTCTCCACCATTCTTTCACTTAATCTTCCAGAAATGGATTGATTCAGTAATTCATATATTAAAATGAAATATTACTGATATATGGTTTTTGATCTCATGTCAACAACAGCTATCATAGTCTGTGTCATTTCTATGGCTACGTCTGTCAAGACCTGTGATGGTTTCCAACTGATGTATGTCACCAGCTGTATGAGGCATGGTCTAAAGCAGATTGAAAGTAGTGAATTATTTTGTGAAACACGACTACCCTCCTCCACACCAGAATATGAGAGACGCTAGTCCAACATCGTGATAGATGTTGCTAACATACGATCACAGATCGTATTTCAATAATACATTGTTACAATATATTAATTACTTCTTTATTGTATTTCTGGAGGATTAAGTAAAAGAAAGGTGAAGCAATGTATTTCAAAAGAGATAGTATAAACAACACTCTTCCTGTGATTAGGAACAGCAATTACATCATGTTTCTTATTTTAATGCCGCAGAAATTGTGCTAATAGGTTTTATGGTGCAATTATTCATCAACCTGTGCTCATATTATTTTACATCAGCTATAAATATTTATTGTCTTATTCTTTTCAGAGTTATCGACAAGAAGCACCAAGTACTCCACCTCATATAATTCTTCATTATTGTACATTTAAAACCGTTTGGGATTGGGTAATACTTTTATTAACATTTTATACATCATTACTCGTACCCTATCATGCAGCATTTAAAAGTAAATCATTAGATGATGTGCCTTTACTTGTTGTTGATAGTATTGTTGATGTTATTTTCTTTATTGATATTATATTAAATTTTCATACAACATATGTACACACAAGTAAGATATTAAATTTTATTTGAATTTTGTTTTAATGTTATTTGATTTTGTTTATTTAATAAAGAATCAGGAGAAGTTATATCTGATCCAAAACGTATTAGAAAAACATATTTAAAAAGTTGGTTTGTTATTGATTTATTAGCTTGTTTACCATATGACGTATTCAATGCATTTCAAGAAGCTGAAGAAGTATAATTTATTTAATAAAATGAATTTCGTTTTTCCTTTTTCCTTTTTTTTTTCTGATTGATATATTTCAGCGATATGGCAGTATATTTTCAGCATTAAAAGTTTTACGTTTATTACGTCTTGGTCGTGTTTTTAGAAAATTAGATAATTATTTAGAGTATGGTGCAGCTGTTCTTTTATTACTTATTTGTGTTTTTGTACTTGTTGCTCATTGGTAAGGAAAGAAAATGATGGAAAAAACAACAAAGTTTTTAAAATTTATCTTTGCCTAGGTTTGCTTGTGTATGGTATACCATCGGATTTCGAGAAGGACGAGGTGGTCCTGGAAAACGAGTATGTCAAAAAAAAATCAGAATGATATTGAATTTCATACAAATTTATAAAAACTTACACGTTAAACCTTAGTTTTGTTTTGTAGCAAAAGTCTTTGGAAAGCTTAGAAAATAGTGTAATCATAAATTTTTGTTAATTTCATTCTATTTTGGTTTGGCTTTCTAATCTTCGCATATTGAGTCATAAGCATTGGGTTGTTAAAAACTCCGATGATCAAATTTCCAGCTGAAATTTTGTCCATAAATAAATCTAATAGTTAATGGAAATACTTCGAAGTTTGAGCTAGAACAGACGTTTCTATATAAAGATATCTATTTGCCATTGAAAAATCCTTTTTTTTTTGAAACATTGCTTAAAAGAAAAGATATTTCTTTCAAATGTAAATATCCCTTAGCTCAAAAATCGGTCATCTAGGTTCTCATGGATCTTATGCATATAGGGCAAAAGTTTAGTTAAACATTCGTAACTTAACACGCGAAATCCGGAACAGCAAACCGACGTAGATTTTTTACTACTCATCATGATTGACTGAATAGCCATAGTGTCAAGTACAGAGTGGTGGAATAGTTGGGAACATTTCCTTATTTGATCTAATATAAACTCTAATCTCTTCAATAATTCATAAAAATTGATTCCACGTATACAGTTACATTGACATTTTTTTTTTTGAATAGATGGAATATAGTTGGCTAGTAAAAATGGATAGAGAATTACATTATGCATGTATTGATTCCTATGGTAATCTAACAGCATACGAATCCAATGGTACATGTCGAAAAGCAGCCTATGTAACAGCACTTTATTATACTATGAGTTCATTAACAAGTATTGGTTTTGGTAATGTTGCTGCTAATAGTGATAATGAAAAAATTTTTACATGTGTTATGATGCTTATTGGTTCACTTCTTTATGCAACTATATTTGGTAATGTTACAACAATATTTACACAAATGTATTCAGCTACAGCTCGATATCATGAAATGTTAAGTAGGTATGTAATTAAAATAAAATTATTTCATTTTTGCATTTTTTTTCATTTGATTTAATTATCTTGTTTTTTTTTTCATGTAAAGTATTCGAGAATTTATGCGTTTACATGGTATGCCTAATCAATTAAATGAACGTATTATGGATTATGTTGTATCAACATGGGCAATGACAAAAGGTATTGATGCAACAAAAGTATTAAATTATTGTCCAAAAGATATGCGTGCCGATATATGTGTTCATATGAATCGAAGTGTATTTAATGAACATCCAGCATTTCGTTTAGCTAGTGATGGTTGTTTACGTGCATTAGCTGTTCATTTTCATATAAATCATTCTGCACCTGGTGATATGTTATATCATTGTGGTGAAAGTCTTGATATGCTTTGTTTTATTGCATCTGGTTCATTAGAAGTTATACAAGATGATGAAGTTTTAGCTATACTTAGTAAGAGATTTTTATTTATTTGTTGATTGTTTCGATTTTATTGACATATATGTTTATTTTTGTTGTTCATTCTTCTTAGGTATAAATGATGTTTTTGGTGATGATTTTTGGAGTAAACATCGAGATAGTGTTGGTCAATCAGCAGCTAATGTTCGTGCATTAACATATTGTAATATACATCAAATTCGACGTGAACGATTACTTGAAGTATTAGATTTTTATCATCCATTTAGTATATCATTTGCTCGAAATATGTTGCTGACATATAATTTAAGACAACGTGTAAATGATTTTAATTAATTAGTTTTTTAATTTAATTATTGTTGCTCTTTTTATATTTAGGTTGTTTTTCGTAAAATTGCTGATGTTAAACGTGAACGTGAATTAGCTGAACTAAGAAAAAATGAAGGATTAGATCAAATAAGTTCGGATCATCCAGTGCGAAAGCTAATATCAAAATTTCGTAAAATATCACAAGAAAATCGTGCAGCTTCACAAACTATTTCTAATGTACCTACACCTCCAACAACAATAGTTAGTCCACCATCACAACAACCATCACCACCATCCCCACTATCAACCATTGGACAATCACCAAGCACTGAAGCAAATGATTCTTTAACAAGAACAAATATGACTTCATTACCAACTTCACATTTGCAATTACATCCATCATCAACTTTAAAAAGTCGAGATAAACTTGAAACAATTTCTGAACGTATTGAAACACAAGAATCACAACTATCTCAAATCACATCTGTTCATCAAAGTCCACCATTACAACGACCACCAAAATCAAGTAAATGGAAATGGTTGAAAACAGGATCAACTGGACCTGAAGCAGATTCACCACCAAGAAAAACTGGTCCAAGCACCAAACAAATACAACAACCATCAACTAATCCATTTGATTCAAATTTAACTGATGAAGATACACATGGCAAAGCAGAAGATGGTGGTGAACGACGATTATCTATTCCGCTTAGTTTATTTATACCGAGATCAGTTCGACAGGAAGGTACAAAAGTAACAGAAGACATTAATGATGATCAAGTAAGATACTTTTAGTTTTCGAGAAAAATATTCGAATAAACATTTCTTTTTTTTTTTTATTCATAATTAGAAACAATTAGATGAATCTCATTCCGATATAAATACAGCATTTGGACCTCGTCGCAGTATATCATCACCATTCAGTGATCATCCATTATTATCATCATTAATTGATATAAAAAATGATTTAAGTAATGAAGTACGAGCATTAACAAAACGTATGATTCATATTGATGAACAAATTAGTCAAATTTTTAACTTTCTTTCACCACTTCATTCGTCAATAAATAATAATACACAACAAGTATTGGATACAACTCAATCATCATCAATTCCATCTCAACCTTCTTCACTTTTACCACCATCATCATTAAACACAACAACGAGTCACTCTAAAACTAACACTTCTACTCTAAAGTTTCCAAAAATGTTCGAAGAACCTTCATACTATTCAGATATAAATACAATAATTCCATTTTTTGATGCGAATCAATCGTCATCACCAATAACTGATGTTTCTATACAGCCGAAAACAAATGATCCATTGTTAACAATATCATCAACATGTCAAATCAGTGATTATGATTCAACCCCATTATCAATTCCACCACCACCTTCTGTCTATAATCGTTCAGCTAGTTCGTCAGTTGTTACTTTAGGTATATCGACAACTCCACATGGTTCAATATCCAATAAAATAGTACCCGCACCTACTAGTTCTAAACATCCATTGAGCGCTAGTTTTCGACCGATTTCTAATACTCGTTTTAATCCGGGTCGTTCTCCGAAACCGAAAGCTCGTTCACATCAAAATCGATCCAATGTCAAGCATCGACAACAACCTGAGAAATCAACAATTATTGAACTTGAACCCTCAACACAAAATGATACAACGAATAAAAATGTACCGCTATTTTCAACATTATCATCAACAACAAAATCAGGTAGCAAAGTGTTTCGTCGTTTCATGGGAAGTAGTAGCAATGCAGAGAAAACAACAATGTCGTCAACAACACTTCTCTATCCACCTACAAGTGATGATGAACATCCAATGAGTCCTACTAGTTCAGGCAATGATGATGATGATCATAGACCATTGACTTCATCTTCAAGTAAATATCATCATCAAACACCTCTCTGATTTCAAACTATTAGTTTATTTTTATTTTATCTTCATCTCATGGCTTCATCTCAGATAGGTGAATCGATGCATTTTATTTATGATATTGTGATATGAATATTTTCTCTTGAACTTTTTTCTACCTTGATTTTGTACAAGTTCACCGGTGCATATTTCTCTTTGTTTTGTTCCTCTCTACGTGTGCATGTGTTAACTGGTCAGTGTGTTATGACAACATTTTTCTTCTAATCACACGTGTCCCAGATTTTTACTAAAACTAATGCTCCGTATTTCGATGACAATTTACATGTTGAAATAAAAATATTAACAATGATGTATTTTGTGTAACAGATAAATATTTCTATCAAATGAATTCTAAGTCATCCATATTTAATCAACGCAATATTTTTGATTTCCAAGGCTTTATTTCATAGAGTACTTTCATTCGCTATTGCCATGAGTTTCGAACGAACTACTCAAATATGGAGGCTAGTGCAAAGGAGGATAATAACATGTGATTTTCTATTGATTAATAATATCCATGCACTGATTTCGTTTCTTATCTAGCGAATAGTGTACAATAATAAAAGACTGACCAAACATTTTAGTTTAGTTGAAACTGAACTAAAATCGAAAAATATGATTGGTTATGATCTGTTGCATCATAGACAGACAATCATATTTTTCGACATTGTTTTAGCTGAAACCTTCAGTTTTTATAAGTGTCTACTGAATAGTCCAATACATGAAAACAGATGACAAAATTATACGTTTCAATATCAATTAAGTAAATAACATAGTAGTGATGTTTTTAATGAGTATCTGAAATACAATGTACGGGTACACTATGTTTTTCTGAACAACGTGCATCTGTAAATCTTGTTTTGTAGACTAACGTGCACGAAATGTATAATAACTGCAAAACTAGTGTCTAACAACCTCAAAGACTTGTTTTAAAAGGACACTAACTTAGTTTTGCACTAATGAAAATATGAAGACTCAATGATGAGGATGCAAGTGTAGAAGGGACCCAGACCCAAGCTGATGCTCTCCCCAACCTACTATTGCCACTGTCGCGTTGCGTTTGTCTACAATTCACCTAAAGAGCAACATCGATATGATAGAAAATATGAACAAAGAACTGAGAATCTGTGATTGTTGAAAATCTTCAGATAAAAACTAAAACTAAGATTTATTATGATGTATTTTTTTTCTCCTAGTATTTTCTTTTCTCATATCTCTTTCAGCTCTTTGAAAGATTATTTCAGTACCACTTGACATTAATATCAGATGGTACGCAAGCTATATACGTAAGCTAAGTATAGAAGAATACGAAGGATGTAAAAGTGCCCCTATCTAGTAGTCTATTGGATGTAATGTCTGTAGTCTTGATCATGTTCAATAGATAAATTTCTTTTAATCATATAGGCACGAAAGTCTTATAAAAAAAAAAATTGTAAAAAGAAAATTCAGTGTGTATAGCGTACACGCTATTTTTTTCTTCTATGTGTAAAACAATGTGTAATTTCTTTTTCATTAGGGTACCGTACACATTGTTTTACAAGGTGCACTCTTTCATCAGAACATTACATTGTAGTTTAGTTGTATGATGAACAGTTATTACGAAGAATATCAATGGAACTGTGGTGGATAGAAAGATAATCAATCATTTCTGAGGCAACAATTAAGTGGTGTATTTTGCCATCGCGATTCGAAAGACTTTAATAAAATGTTGCTAATTCTATTATTAGAATCAGCAACACCTTACTAAAAACGATATTTTTTCGAAAGCATAATAATACAACACTAAATCAAGAGAATAGAAAAGAAAACATTTGTTGATTTTTTGTTTCTTCTACATACTATTATTTAGTATCACAAAATAAAAAAGTCATTCATTCTTCTATACCACTTTAATGGAAAAATAGTTTACACAAATCAATGCCATTTCAATATAAATCGGTTTGCAAATAAAAATTCTCTTATTGCCTGTATATTTTCTATTAGTATTGTAGTTGCCTGATCATGTATATTTTGTGTTGAACTCATAGTTAACGTGACGACACATCTTTTAATGAGACATTATATTTAGCTGTTGTTCCAGTAACAACATGAAAACAATCTGTACGTTATCTAATTCTAAATGAAACCTTAAAATTTGAGAACACCACATAACATGTAATTCTTATAGCATCAAAAGTCATATCGATATACGAACATAAGCAAAACAGATAATTTTGGTACAATCTGTTAAATATATCTATAATACTGGAAAGGTTTCCATTATCAACTATTCAAAGAACAAAGTTATGGCTAGATAGTGCCTAAGTTTCAATGAAAAAATTGTTGAAATTATTAATTATGAGCAAGGTGACAAGTACAAAAATGTAAATATGGGTCTTGGTGTTAGCAGTCACCAAGAGAACATGTATAATGTAAACTATGGTTATAGTCATGTTATCTTCGTTTAAAAATGATGAATGAATCGATTTCTTAACTGCAACGTTTTTCAACTGTAAGATGCATGAATCTGCAATGGAAGAAAATAAGAAAAAGGTTTCCATGAAAAACAAAAAACTTGATAGTGATTTCATTCATATAAAAATTGACACCAACTAATAATAAGTATCGTCTGACAATTCATAGATCAACTCATTATCTACTGTTACTTGAATAATGATATTCTCTATTACGTGAAATGTAGTAATTTAATAATTGTTTATACTAAGATTGCACTCGTCAAGATATCATAATTATTTCTATTATTATCATTTTGAATTTACCAATTTATCTGTTTCCTCAATATTAAACTAAGAATCATTTAAGTGTCAAAAGTAAAGAAAATGATACACGTATATAACAGAAAATAAATCTGTTAGCAGAGTTATGTGATACAAAACTTCGATTTTCAGTCGTTCATGTATCAGATAATGTAAAAATATCAAACATTCCTCATCTCTGTAATTAATCAATAAATACATTTAATGCTTACTATGTATGTATGAAACAAATGATATGATAATGCAGTCATATAGACCACATTGAGTAAGTAGAACAAATTATTTGGCATATGAGGAAATGTAATAACTTATATCAGTTACTTTTATTTAGATTGAACAGCTGAGGATAACTTGAACAGTATACCAATAATTCATGAACGGCTATGCAACAGATAAATGGTCCTATGATAATTAATCAAATAACATCATCCTCTGACTTTTTTTAATTTTTAGAAAATGTATCAACTCTTACCATAACTAGTCAAATTTGAAATCATTCACCAAAAATGATATTGTAAATGTAAGAAAGAGGCTTGCCAAACATCCTGATTTTTGGACTTTTCTCCTGATAGAAAATCTCCTGATTTTAGGAGTTGATTTTTGAACATTTTCTCCTGATTTATAAAAGAAATTTTCCTGGTAAACTCCTGTTTTTTGATAAAAGAAACTCCTGATTTCCGAAATTTTAATTTGCCAAGCCTGATAAGAAATGGCTTATTTTAAATGAATCTGCAAAGCTGTCTTCATTAGGTTAAGATTAAAAATAATATCTATGCACCTCTGATCAATGACACACGACACATCAGTAGTTATGAATCAATCTAGAGATCACCCATAAAAACGTTGAAGGGTTCATAATGACTAAGAACGTAAGGATATATTTGGTGAGGATTCGAGTATTCGTTAAATGATTCGCTGTAGAGCTGGTCTGAATTAGAACTCATCGAGCTCTATCAAGATCATATCACAATCGTCAAATTCAAGAGAAGCAGTAATGAAAAAATTGATAACTACTCTGTTTTTATATCATGAGTGGCAAAACGTGTAAATTTGTTAAAGTCTGAGTAGCATCCGGTCTGATTACGATTAGGTTCGGCTTTATTCAATTGTAGGGCGTTATAGCAGAGCTTATGATATTATGAAGCGTTGAGTTCTTTTATTCCAGATTTTCTTTGTCTTCGTATTGAGACAAGAAATGAAACAGTATGTGAGTAGAATATCATAATATAATGCTGACAGCAAGCAGAATGTTTTTTCAGCCATCGTTCTGCTTAATGACTACATATAGATTAATGTAAAAGTCAATTTCCAGTCAAAGCTCATCAATAATGACAGTAATAGTCTGACAGCTTTATTTTCTTGTTATTATCAGTAACTTTTTTTTTTTGGAACAAATATTCTACTTCAATATTTGTAGTTCTATGTCAGTATTTATTGTGTGGATTGGTCATTCTCTCAGTGATCAGTTCAGATCAAATTAAGACATAAATGCTCCATCATAGATGGGTTTCTTTTATCGGCTGTATTTCATGTAATATACTCTAAATTTTATCCATTTTTTTTATCAAGTTCAATGCATTTTAATGAAATACCAATTACAATCGTTGACCATACTTTAATCTTAAGTTTCACCTAGATCAAATCACAGACGGAAATAGCATTTTTCTATGAAAGTTTTTGTTTAGTGCAACTTCATCCAAGTATCAAGTTAACAAAGGCTTATTAATCTAAAAATATAAGATGTCATTTTGAACTCGAACTTTTCAGCTTGTTTTATGTTTTTCATCGACTCTCGACAGCTAATAGAGATTAAGCATTGATAGAGATTCGTTGATATAAAGATTACAAAAACAAAATAATACTATAAGTTTGTAAGAAAAAAAGTCGTCTTTTTCTTAAATTGCAATTTTCAAAAGTAGGACTTAAATTATTCCAAAAAGATTATAGATTTAAAACTAGGAATCTGAAAGAGTTCTTCTCTCATGCTCGGTGTGCAGTAGCATATAAGTACGTATGCCAATCTGTAATGGGATCAATTTTCGATAAAAATGTTTATGATCCAACTCTGCTGATCAGAAACTTAATGTACTATACGTAAGAACATAATTTCATGTATGATATTCTATATCTATGGTAGTTTTAGCTAGAAAAATAGAATTAATCAATATAAACTGATTATATTATATTAATTGATAATGTTCAGGAAAAACTCAACATTATTTTCAAGTATACGTTAATGCA